CGTGTGTGGCATGTGTGTGCATGGGGGTTGTGCAATGTGTGTGCATGTGTGTGCATGTGTGTGGTGTGTGCTGTGTGTGCATGTGTGTGCATGTGTGTGTGCATTGAGTGTGTGTCTGTGTGTGTGTGTGTGTCTGTGTGTGCCTGTGTGTGTGTGCATGTGTGTGCATGTGTGTGTCTGTGTGTGCATGTGTGTGCATGTGTGTGTCTCTGTGTGTGTCTGTGTGTCTGTGTGTGTCTGTGTGTGTCTGTGTGTGTCTGTGTGTCTGTGTGTCTGTGTGTCTGTGTGTGTGTCTGTGTGTCTGTGTTCGCGTGTGCGTGTGTGTGCGTGTGCGCGTGCGCGTGGGTGTGTGTGTGTGTGTGTGTGTGTGTGCGGGTGGGTGTGTCATCACTGCATGACGTGCAGCGAGCCTCGAGATTGATTCCCACCTCCGGGGTAAAGCCCGTTGGGGGCTTGACTGTATAGGCCGGCCCACGTCCCAGGAAGGGAAAGGGGGTTCCAGGTTTTAGGGCGGAAGGGCCCGCAATGGTTCGGGGGGGTCTGTTCGTGGGTTGCTGCGCGGGGTCTCCCCCCAACCCATCCCGCCCCCACCTGGCCGGACCCAGTTCGTTGTTTTTTGTTTTTCTGTCGTTGTGTCGCGCAGCTGTGTTTGGGGCCTCCCCCCAACCCATCCCGCCTCCCCGCCAGGTACCCATTTTTGTTCGGCAGGGAAGGGGGGTCTGGGGACTCACACATAGTTTTTCGGAAGATAGTCGCCGCCCTAAGCCCCCAAGCCCCAAGCCAAAAACCGCACGCGCGAAGACATTCAACCAAAACCAGGGCTGCGCGTGTTAAAACGCATTCTGGGGTGTCCCAGGGCGGGGGCGGGGACTGAAACCGAATCCGTGTCTGCGTGTTCTGAACGCCGGCCGCGGCGTAAAGGTTGAGTTATGTCTGGATTCAGGGTTGCTCCAGGCTCGAAATCCCAAAACTTTGCGGGGCTCTACGCGTTAAACTCCAAACCTTGCCCAACAATCTTGGTTGCACCACATTATTTTTATATATAGTTCCAGACCCATTTATATATATAGCTTCTGCATTTATATATATATATATAGTTTCTGGACCCCCGGGGCAGGCCAACAGACATAGAGGCCCACGCACCCACTAACTCATATGTCAAGCCAATAATATCACAGCACGTATATATGTATATATTGGTATATTCTTCTATCAAGATTGCATATGCTTTGCTTATAATTACCTTGTCAGAATCTCAGTTTCGGAGTATATTGTTTTCGTTCTTTTGAACATATGATGAATATATGGTTGCATCCCTAAACCCTAAACCCTAAACCCTAAACCCTAAACCCTAAACCCTAAACCCTAAACCCTAAACCCTAAACCCTAAACCCTAAACCCTAAACGCATCATGATATCATATGGGGCTTTGCGGGCCGCAAGGCCCGCTCCAGCGCACGGGCCATGCCGTTTGGGCGCATATCTGAGGTATCGCCCCACTGCAAGGCACCGCTACAGTAAGGGGTCTAGGTTTTAGGGTTTAGGGTTTGGGGTTTAGGGTTTGGGGCCTTTTTGTGCTCTCCACCTGAATCAACTTCAGCATTCAGAATTCCTCCACAAGCAGCACTCGTCGCACGCAATCTCTTTTGTCCAGCACGGCTGAGCCCAGCCAGACGTTCTGGCGCACTTCTGCAGCCTACACCCAGTTACACATCCTGCTTCCGAATCCTTGCTAAGGGCTCAAAAAATAGCCGTAGACTCGCTTCAAATTGTCCCTTATTGGGCTAAAGAGGATCATCTTCAGGAATCATTCTTCAGAGGGTTTTAAGGGCCATCCTAGCTAGGATCTTTGGGGCTTTAGAGCAACCCTAAACCCTAAAGCCCAAACCCCAAACCCTAAACCCTGAGCCCTAAACCCTAAACCCTAAACCCTAAACCCTAAACCCTAAACCCTAAACCCTAAACCCTAAACCTGGCAGCAGCTAGCAGTGCAGCAATTGGGGGCCGCCCCGGGGTGGCGCGCCTGCAGCGGCCTATGCAGCAGGGCGACGACGCGGACCTGGAAGGCCTGAAGCCAGCCTGGGCTCAGGGTTTAGGGTTTAGAGTTTAGGGTTTAGAGTTTAGGGTTTAGGGTTTAGGGTTTACGGTCAGGGGCCCTGCTGGGAGGTTCTAGGTTCAAGGCCAGTGGGGTTCGACGTGAGGGAAGTTTATGTCCTTGTGCAGGGCATGAACCTTCAAGTATAGTTCGGGAAATGCCGCCCCAAAAACAAAACACCACATTCTGGCCAGAGTGGTTTCGCGCACCTGTGCTGCTTTGTTTGGAGAGGGGGGGGGGGGGGGGGGCTCCCTGATGGCGAGGATTTTTTTTTTTTTTAAACCCCGCATCCCAAGAATGCTGGCTGCATCAGGGGTTCGGGTTTTGGGCTTTTGGGTTGTGCCGGGGGCTTGGATCACTGAGGGAATGCAGGGCAATGCCTCAACCCTAAACCCTAAACCCTAGACCCTAGACCCTAAACCCGAAACCCGAAACCCGAAACCCGAAACCCGAAACCCTAACCAAACTGTGATTATAGCGTCGGGTTTTGCATATAAGCCCTCAAAGCCTTGTTGCGTCCCATAAGCTCTGCAAGCCCTCAAGTAAGCCCTAGACGCCCTAAAGGCCTGATAACCTCTACAAGCCCTGTGAGCCCTATAAGCCCTTTAAGCTTTCTAAGCCATATAAGTCCTATAAGCTAAGCGCTATCAGCCCCGAAAGCCCTACAAGCCCCATAGGCCCTCTAAGACCTCCAAGACCTCCAAGACCTCTAAGACCTCTAATCTAAGACCTCCAAGACCTACAAGACCTAAACCCTAAACCCTAAACCCTAAACCCTAAACCCTAAACCCTAAACCCTAAACCCTAAACCCTAAACCCTATCATTGACCGCTTGTTTGCCAGGCCCTGGCGACTGGGCCGATCTGCTACAGCCGCGGAAGGCCGTGGAGGCGCGTCGCGACATGGGGGGCCCCAACACCTCCAGCGGTTTTTGGGATGCTTGTAGAGTTTTGGGGTAGGGCTTTAGGGTTTAGGGTTTAGGGTTTAGGGTTTAGCATCTAGGGTTTAGGGTTTAGGGGTTTAGGGTTTAGGGTTTCTCTGCAGCCCGCGAGCTCCGCGCAGGTTCTGCTCAATGTTTTCGGACTCGGCGAGTAGGCGTAGGCGTGCGTTACCCTTTGTACATTGCCCGCGTATCCTCACGTAGCTCTCGCCTAGCGTGTTTGAATGCGCATTCATGTGTAGCCCGCGGAGAAGGTCGCCAAATAACACCAAGGCCGAAACAAAAACAACAACTCAAAACACGCGGCTCCCGTGTCGGGAGCCTCCGCATACCCTCATATCAGTCCGCAAGAACACCCTCGTAATTCTCCATCAGCCAAAGTGGGCCATTATACCCTGCAGCCTCTAAAAAAGGCCCTATGTAGGGTTGATTATGGAGATTGTAAGGCCTAGAATAGCGGTTGACAGCATGTTCAGCGTCCCCCTGAGTTATGAGAGCATATGGAGGGGGTATGTAGTATTGGGGGCACAGGGGGGGTTGATATTAGGGGGAGGGGATTGGTAGGATCCTTGCTTATATGTTTTTTTTCGGCCCCTAGAGAGCCTTGGCCCCTGAACCCTAAACCCTGAACCCTAAACCCTAAACCCTAAACCCTGAACCCTAAACCCTAAACCCCAAACCCGAAACCCTAAACCCTAAACCCTAAACCCCATCCGGAGAGCCTTGGCGCCAGGCTTCGGAGCCGCTCCGTGTGGGCTTCTCGATCATCGGCGAGCCGACACTGGTCCCGTCCACAGGCGCCGGAGTGCGGTTTGGAGTGAAGTCTATAGCCCTAAACCCTAAACCCTAAACCCTAGAGTCTATAACCCCTTAGGAATTATGTATATCTTCTTATTTTTTTTTATGAAACCCAAGGGAGTATTTAAAGAAGAATTATGTTCAATGAAGGCTCTAAGGGGAGTATAGAAGTCCGGGCTTGGGTACTAGAATCATATGGTCCCTTCTCCGGGATGGACTCTTCTAGGGCTTCCAAGGGCCCTTTTTTTAAAGGGTTATAGGGTTTTAGGGTTTAGGGTTTAGGGTTTAGGGTTACAACAGAACCCTACCAAGAGGGCCCTTTTTTAAGGGTTTTTAGGGTAAACCAGCAAAACAGCGGCCATCCTCGCGTTTTGGCGTAGGGTAGCTACACCTTAAAAGGGTACCCCTTATGTACCCCTTTATAGACCCTCGACAACCCAAGGGCCTATGCATCAGAACCCTTTATAAAGAGGGTAGGGGACATATCAAGGGACCATGAAACCAGCCTCTAAACCCTAAACCCTAAACCCTATCCTAATCATGTTAAGGGACCATGAAACCATCCTAAGAGATGTTTAAGGTCTGCAAGTGCGCAGCGCGAAGGTTCGAGAGCCCCGGAATCTCCCGCAGGGTTGGGAGTCGGTACGCAGGTTGTGTAGGGCGTAGGGTCTAGAGGGTTTTGGGTGTTGAGGTTTGGGTTTAGGAGTGTGTAGGGTTTAGGGGTGTAGGGGTTTAGGGGTTTAGGGGTTTAGGGGTTGAGGGGCTTAGGGGTTTAGGGGTTTAGCGTCAAGATCTCTGAAGGTATCGCAGTGGGCACAGAGCCTTCACTGGACGCTGCGGTGCAGTCAGATGGCCCGCTCCTGGACGAGGAGTTGGCTGTGTGCATCTTTGAGCAGATTCCATAGGGATACTTGGAAATAGTTTGTTTAATAATAATAATTTTGGGTACTTTCATTCCTAAGAAACAGCTAAAATTATCATTTTTGCTAGGGTTCCAAGTTCAGTATAGATTCCCTTGAGTGCAGACATCGTTGGTTCCAGAGAACTGCAGGTTGAAGGAGGGTGTGAAGGGAAGCGATTGATGCTTGTCATTCCGCTTATGGTACTTGGAGGTGTTGCCCGGTGCCTCCATCTTTTCGGAACGAACGCTGCGGGTTCGTCAACACCACGCTTGCACACAGCCTTGTCACAGCTTTGTCATTCCTGTATGCCCTGTGTAAGATGACGATTGTTCTATGCAACGCCTTTGCAATAGGTTGTCCGGTGCTGCTTTCTAGTAGTAACGTCACGTAAGACGGGCTCGTTCTTCCCACAACAGGTGCCACAGTTCAGTTCTCTTCTGGGCGCGGCTGCCTGCATCTCATGATCTTCTGCAGAAATTTGCGACATATTTCTTTAGAAATCACTTCAGGTGAAGCTCTAGATTAATCACAGTTGGGCAAGAGACCCTCCACTGAAACACGCTGAACCAGAAACCATCTTCGCAACGTGAAGAGGGCACAGCTCTCATCAGCCTTGCGCGATCTTGTACACCAAGAAGCCCCTGGAGTCGTTCAAACAAGGGCCTCATTCATAGGGGAACCCCAAACTCCCTAAAAACCCTGAGCTTGCCCTAAACCCCGAAACCCCCTAAACCCTAAACCCTCATTGGCGGAGTGGAGGGGAGTGGAGGGGAGGGGAGGGGAGGGGAGGGGAGGGGAGGGGGGGGGGTCCCTAAACTCTAAACCCTAAACCCTGGGCCCTAAACCGCAAGCCCTAAACCCCAAACCCTAAACGTGCTGGGAGGAGGCGCTGAGCGTCCTCAGCGCTCGGGACGCGGCGCGGGTGACCGGCTTCCTGCGAGGCGCCCTGAACCCCGAACCCCGAACCCCGAACCCTCAACCCTCAACCCTAAACCCTAAACCCTGAACTTTCCTAAACCCTAAACCCTAAACCCTATCAGGTACAACAAGCTAAAGGCCCTAAGTTGGTCTTTATCCGGAGCCTTAACCCCTGCAAGCCCCAACCCTGTAAACCCTACCTCTTGTTTGTTTAAGGGTTTCGGGTTTAGTGCTTCGGGGTCAAGATCGTCGAAGGGTTGGGGGGGGGGGGGGGGGGCTATCATGTACTGGTGGAGAGCGTATGGGAGTTCTGGGCTGCCAGGTAGGACACAGGCCGCAATTTTTTCCCCTTCTTCTTAGTAGGGAAGGGGGGAATGAGGTACCCGACATCATCCCTTCAAGGGTATACATAGGGGGATATGGGGTACCCCCCCCATTCAGCAAGTCTTTTGAAGCCCTCGCGCGAGGCCTCCGCGACACACGCGCTGCCTTCGATGCCACGACGGTGGAGGCGCAGATGAAGTGCAACACCAGCCCCAAACCCCCAAACCTGCCTGCAAACCCTAAACCCTAGACCCCAAACCTTAAACCCTAAAACTTAAACCTTAAACCCTCAACCCTACCCCCTGCAATGTTCGTATCTTTCGCAGATGTGCAAAGCTGCCTCAGCCATATAAGCCTCAAAAGGACTCCCCCCCCAAGAAAAAAAGAGTTTAGTTTAGCGTTTAGGGTTTAGATGGTTTAGGGTTTAGAGTTTACCTTTTGTGTTGGAGCCTAACAGCTTCCACTTATACAAGCCCAAGGTTGGACACTTAAGCCCTATACCGTGTAGAACCCGAAACCCCGAAAGCCCTGCAAGCCCCACCAGAACCCGAGAACCCCGAAAAACCCTAGAGGCCCCTGAAAAGCCCTAGAACCCCCTAAATCCGCTCAAGAAACCCTAAACCCTAAACTCCAAACCCTAAACCCTAAACTCCAAACCCTAAACCCTAAACCCTAAACCCTAAACCCTAAACCCTAAACCCTAAACCCTAAACCCTAAACCCTAAAACCCCGCAGCCGCTTGCAGGCGCTACTCAGGCTGCTGCGGTCCCTGCCGGCACCAGATGGCCCCAGAGTTGTGCATCTTGGACATGGTTCAGGGTTCAGGGTTTAGGGTTCAGGGTTCAGGGTTCAGGGTTTAGGGTTTAGGGTTTAGGGTTTAGGGTTTAGGGTTTAGGGTTTAGGGTTTAGGGTTTAGGGTTTAGGGTGGTATACTTAAGTCCACGTCTAGCCCGCCTGCAGCTGTACCTGTTAGAGTCGGTTGGACTCGAATTGGCCGTGCATGCTCAGAAGCTTAACAGCAGCTTTTGGGTCTGGGGCACAGTTTTTTTCTGGCCGCATCTGCTGGGTAGACGGATGAGTGTCCGAAGGCCCGTATGTGTTAAGACAAGAAAGACCTTCAGGCACGGGGTCATGAGCCCGATGTGGGTTCCAGAACCGCTTTCTCAGCTAGATTGTTGCTTGCTGGCCACCCTAAACCCTAAACCCCAAACCACAAACCCTGAACCCTAAACCCTGAACCCTAAACCCTAATTATCCTGTGGCAAGAGAATTGACAGTGGTAGCGGTAGAGGCGCTCTTACAGCATCAAGGTGTCCTTGTGGCATGGGACGGCCGAAACTCTATCTAACCCCTCAAGTATGCCATGGTCCCTAAACCCCAACCCCGAAGCCCTGAACCCGAAACCCCAAATCCCAAACCTCGAACCCTGAACCCTAAACCCCAAACCCTAAAACCCTAAATCCTAAACCCCCTGCAGCCACAGCGCTCGGCCGAGGCTGAACGCAATCCGACAAGATCAGCCGGTACTCTTCGACCGACTGCATGAAAGCATGAGGCTGGATGTGGAAGCCAGGGGTTTATGTAGGCCATATACTACGGGTTTAGGGTTTAGGGTTTAGGGTTTAGGGTTTAGGGTTTCTACTGTGGATTTTGGTAGCAACCAGCCTGAACATGCAAGAAGAATTCTTTGGCAGGTCGCAAGCAACGCATTACCACGTTCGGCCCGCTACATGCCATGCTCCTAAGAGGCCACCCCTACTTGGCCCCCATGGAAAGGGCACTGGTCCCACGGTTCCACTTGTATCACTTGTCTTCCATCGCTTCGCTTTCTTGTGTTGCTCCTGAGTACGGTGGGGGCTCGTATTTTGCACTGGATTTCTAGAACTTGGCTTTGGGAGTTCTGAAATCCCACACACAGCTTAGCAATGCTTGCACGAGCCCAGCCCGGCCACGCCTCGCGCCAAGTCCTCACCAAGTGTTCAACTGTCCTCGCTCGTGGGCCTTGGGTCGAGCTCCAGTAAGGGACACTCACGATGTTGTGGTCTTACACTGTTCGCATCAAAGAGGGTGAGTGGGCCGACTCCCCAAAAAAAGGATCTACATTTCAATGATGTGGCATCAGGGTCTAGCGACTCTGGTATAGAGTGATCGTAGGCCCCCAAAAACCTAAACTCTAAACCCTAAACCCTAAACCCTAAACCCTAAACCCTAAACCCTAAACCCTAAACCCTAAACCCAGAAACGCGAGCTGCCCAGGCGGACACAGCAACGCATGGGCAGCGGGCCACAGCCGCCCGGCTACTGACTCCGAACCAAAGGGTTCCTCTCTGCAGCGCTAAAAAGGCTGATGTGGGAGACGTGGCTCAAGTACTTGGAGGTTCATGGGTAGTTAGTAGAAGGGGGGGGGGGTCAAAAGTGAGGTAACCATGCTTTATTACTGATAATTATTACTGGCTATCACCTTTTTGAGGGTTTGTTGTTAAACCCCACTTATATAACTACCCACGAACCTTCAAGTAGCTGCTCGCGCCAGGATCTCCCCAAAAGCCGATTCCCTACCAGGGTATCATGTCAAACATCCTTTCGAGCTGCCCTCTTCCCATTTTGGCTCAAATATTCACATTCTAAAATCAACCCGAAAAAGGTGCCCTTGTTTTAGTATGCTGACTGGGCTACCAGGAATACAGGGCTATCTAGAGCAGCGAAGCCTGACATGTCCCCAAGACGTGATGTACTCTCGGCCCGAGACTTCCTTGCACCAGAGCCAAAGTGACCCCTTCTTTGCTTACTATAAGGGAATCCTACCTTATTTGGGGGTTCATATTATTTGGGGTCCCTTATTTTGGTCAACTCCCATATCGTACTCCCACGTCCGAACTCCCAAAAACGAGAGGAGATTGTCGCCCAGCGCGACAAGCTTCGTCGCTTCGATGCCCTGCAGGTCGAGGAGGCGTCTAGAGACATCGTGTATACCCAGACCCCTGGGAGGATCCAAAAAATAGAACCCCCCAAATAGCACCCAATACTACCATTAGGTCATTCTTAGGAACCCTTGAGGGGATCTACTTTTTGCATCCTCCCAGGGGCCCCTAATTTCGGAAACCCCCATGTGGGCATTTCCCGAAATAGGGGTACACCTAATATGCCCCCCAAAATACGAGTGTTATAGGAAACCCCCCCCAAAATTTTTTTCGTAACCCTTTAGATGACACCTTGGGAGATCTCGGCATGCTCTAGACCTCACATGGGCTTCGTGAGCTCGTGTTATGGGGGCCCTTGGGTCGGAGGCTTAAGTGAGGGCAAACTTGGAGAGCCTTCTCTAACATGTTGACTCCCTCTAAACCCCTAAACCCTAAACCCCAAAACCCTACGCCCTAAACCCTAAACCCTAAACCCTAAACCCTAAACCCTAAACCCTAAACCCTAAACCCTGAACCCTAAACTGGGGTCCCCTGAGGCAGCTCCTTTTGATAAGCCCGAGCTTGGGGGCCGCAGGTGGAGCGTCTGGTCTACGAAGAGGAGCCGGTGATGCGGGAGACCCATCTCAGGGTTCGCATGGTGGAAACAAGCTGGATAAACACTAGAAATAAATATATACATACATATATATATATATATGTAGACATCTGTATAAGTATATGTCTATGAACTTTGGTTTTTGGACATCCAGAATTTACATCTTAATAATTCCTGCATTTGGGATAATTTCCAAAATAGTTTCTGGGATTTTATAAGTAATAATCTTTGGAAACCAAGCAATGATCTAGAAAGTGATCCAAGAGCTTATCTTACAGAAGTTACAATCTTAATATCCTTACCAACTGGTACAAAAATCCTTAATTGGCTGTTTACATATCTTGGAAATCCACCAGTTCTGTCTTCTTCTCACATGTCTTTTATTAATGTTTACTATAGGTGCTTCTACAGGAATAATTCTTTGGAAATGCTGCCGTAGATCTAGGATTACATGATACATATTATGTTGCAGCACATATTCATTTTGTTCTTTCTTTAGGAGCTATAACTTTCTAGTATATCTGGACATATGTATGTACATCTATGTGTATATATATATACATATGTATATGTATTTGTATATATATATATATATGTGTGTGTATGTAATGTACAACATGGAAATAGAATAAATACATGTATGTATTTATATTATATATATATGGTAGCATATATGTATGCATAGTTTCGTTTTTTGTCGCTGCGGTCACTCTTGACAGCTCACCTTTCCAGGCCCGAATCCTAAACCCGCTGGGAGGTTTTATGAGCCCATCAAGTACCTGGATGACAGGACGAAAGGTCATGTGGCTCAGGACGGGCTGTTGATCTAACTCTGCCAGTGCATTGTTCCAAGCCATCATAGGGGTATTTCGTTGAGGTTCAATCGGAGGGGTTAGGGCAAGGGTTTTATGGGTGACGTGTTTAGGCATAAGGGCGTCATAGTAGTAAACCCTAAACCCTAAACCCTAAACCCTAAACCTCGTGCTCAGGGATCTGTAGGCGGACCCGGCACCCATCGGCCGAAATGAGCCCCCCGGTAGATCATCGAAGAGAAGCTGAAGCTGCTCCTCAAGCGACTGGAGCTGTTCGCAGCTCAGTTCGAGTGTAGGGTTTAGAGGGTTTAGGGTTTGGGGTTTAGGGTTTGGGGTTTAGGGTTTGGGGTTTGGGGTTTAGGGTTTAGGGTTTAGGGTTAGGCTCGTTTCAGGTTTAGGGTTCACGTGGGTGTTGCTTGCAATCTGCGACCGTTGCTGTCTATATTAGGACCCCTTATTATTGTAAGCCCCCATATGATTGCGGTTTCTACGGAGGCCAGAGGCTTCGCAGAGATAGCGCAGAGGGTTCAGTGTTTAGGGATTAGGGACTAGGGTTTAGGGCTTGAGGTTTAGGGTTTAGGGTTTAGGGTTTAGGGTTGAGGGGTTTAGGAGGTTCAAGCAGTTATCTTCCTGGACTGCGCTGTGAGCCTTGTGGCCCAAGACGATGGAAGCGCCAGTGGGCACCCGCGTTCATCTCATATGGGTCACCCAAATGGATACCCTCCAAGCAATCCGCATAGCCGTAAACCCGAAACCTGCAGGTTTATACGGCCCATATAACCCTAAACCCGATAAACCCGAAGGTTTCTACCGGACCCTCTGATTTTAATTAAACTAAGAGTGCTTGTGTGACTAAACCTAAACCCTGAACCCTGAACCCTAAACCCTAAACCCTAAACCCTAAGGGGCGACACCGCGATCGACTGGAACACCTTCATGACCGCACCTGGAGACGAGGCTGGAGCTTCAGGCTCTGTAGGAATGAGAAGGGTTATCTGGGTCTTATTCTGGGTAGGGTTTAGTTTAGGGTTTAGGGTTTAGGGTTTAGGGTTTAGGGTTCAGCATCTCAAGTCCAAGCATTCACTAGTCAAGCAACTACTCCAGGAAAATACCCACCCGCCCAAAGAATCCCACAACATTAAGAAAATGTTTTACTTATAGAACGACCTTGCCCATGCCCAATAAAGCGGCGACCTTGCCCAGTAAAACAGCGACCTTGCCCAGTAAAACGGCGACCTTGCCCAGTAAAACGGCGACCTTGCCCAGTAAAACAGCGACCTTGCCCAGTAAAACGGCGACCTTGCCCAGTAAAACGGCGACCTTGCCCAGTAAAACGGCGACCTTGCCCAGTAAGTTTAGGGTTTAGGGTTTAGGGCTTCGGGCTTAGGGCTTGGGGCTTGGGGCTTGGGGTTTAGGGTTTAGGGTTTAGGGATGTTTAGGGTTTACGGTTTAGGGTTTAGGGTTTAGGGTTCAGGGCCAGTGTGAAGCACAGGATGGCGGAGCGGGATTTGCAAAGCCCAAAACCCTGCCCGCTCAGGTGGAGCCTGCATCACCTCGGACCCCCAAGCGGCCGCTGAAACACCGGTCCATGACGGAGAGCGCCAAGGAAGCGGGGCAGAGTTTCAAGAGGTGTTCCGCGGCTTCTTGGGTTATGAACTCTAACGGCCAAAGCCTACAGCTAACTTCAGACTCGGTTGGCTGCAAGGACGACCTGGAGTTTGGCGGGAAGGCCGGAAGCGGGAGAAGAACCGGGGAGGGAAGGGGCTTGGAGGGGGATACCGACCTATAAACCCTAAACCCTAAACCCGAAACCCGAAACCCTAAACCCTAAACCCTAAACCCTAAACCCTAGACCCTACACCCTAAACCCTAAACCCTAAACCCTAAACCCTAAACCCTAAACCCTAAACCTTAAACCCTAAACCCTATCCCTAAACCCTAAACCCTAAACCCTAAATCCTAGACCCTATGCCTAAGGGTGCCCGTGCTTCCAAGGGCTGCTTTGTGGCAGATCAGGAGATCGGCCTCGCGTTGTTGAGTAGGTCGAAGGGGCCCTGGTGACCAAATGAACCCAATCTTGGGGTCATATGAAGTAGGGTCTATGTTACTGTTCTTGGTGAGTGTATATAAGGTTCCTTTTTAATATTGGTGAGTGTATGTATTGGGTGTGCTCTTGGGGGTACAAGAAATATAAACCCTGCTTCATATACCCTATGCTACACAATTTTTTATTCAGGTATGTGAGCCATAAACCTTTTAGGGTACTCTATACTACTATAATTCTTATTCAGGTATATGAGCCATAAACCATTCTAGGGTTCATTTCATCCCGAAGGCCCCAAGGGTGGTGCTTGTTTGGTGCTTCGAAGGCAGAGCAGGCTGTACGGCGGGAGTGCGAGAGAGCGGCTGCGCAGGCCCCGCCGGATTGGTGTTAAGCCGTAAACCCTAAACTCTCAACCCTATAAACCCTAAACCCCTCTTGTCATATACATGTAGATAGATACATAACAACTAAATATAAGCATATAAATATAAAATATAAATATAAATATAGATATAGATATAGATATAGATATGAATCAATAAATAAATAAATAAATATCAATATATATATATAATATTTATATTCATATTTGTATTTATATTTATATTCATTTTTATTCATTTTTTGTTGCGTGCGGCCTCCCCGAGTGGGTCGAACTCAAGGGGCCCCGGTGGGCAAGTGGTCCGGCCTTGTCTGCGCGCCGGCCGTGTGGTCGAAATCAAGGGGCCCCATGATTCGGTGAAAAAAATGGCCGATATCAGATGTAATTCTGCACAGATGTTCATGGCAGAAATGACCCCAGAATTTTCAAGATTTGGTGTCGAACTCAAAGGGGCCCCGTTGGTCAAGCAAGTGGTGATTGTTTTGCCTCTTGGTGCGTCTAAAAGGAGATGAATAAACTTTCTATTTCGTAGTGTTATGGGATTCTTTGGGCGGGTGGTATTTTTCCAACGCTTGACAAGCTTCTTGACTAGTGAATGCTTGGACATGAGACCCTAAACCCTAACCCTAAACCCTGGGTGAGGGCAGGGTGGCGGGGGCGGTCAGGGCTTAGGAAGTTTTGAGGCTTATAAAGGGGCCTGAAGGGTCGCAAACTCAAGAGTTCGACCACTCCGAGCATGCTGCCCCAGCACTGTGCAACCCCTGTTGAGTCCTGTTTAGAGCCGTAATGCGGGGGTTTAGGGTTTAGGGTTTGGGGTTTGGGGTTTGGGGTTTGGGGTTTGGGGTTTGGGGTTTGGGGTGATTCCATATAGGCCCAAAAAGCCCAGCATCCACGGCCCCCCAAAACCCTAAGCCCTGCAAAAGTCCGAAACCCCAAAGTGCAGAAGCCAATCCTTCTTCCCTTGTAAACCTTAAACCCCAAACCCCCAACCCTAAACCCCAAACCCCCAACCCGAAGCCCTAAACCCTAAACCCTAAACCCTAAACCCTAAACCCTAAACCCATCAGAGCCCATTTTTCACCCTTACCAGGAGCTCCGCAAGACGACGGCCGGGAGCCCCTGGGAGCCCATGCGAAATCCGAAGCCGAGCTTCGATGACCAAGGGTGTTGTTAGGGTTCTTTTCAGGGGTTTGTTAGGGTTTTTTGTTAAGGGTCTGTTAGGGCTCTTTTAAAGGGTTTGTTTAGGGTTTGTTTAGGGTTTTTTTAAATGTTTTTTAGGCTTTTTAAAGTTTTTAGGGTTTTTTTCAGGGTTGTTTAGCCCATCCCAGAGACTCCCTGGAGTGCCCAACCCCAGAGACAATGGAGTGCCCAAGGGGGGCAGGACGGCCAAAACATCCAAATCCCTAAGGTGGGGATGTTCGAAGTAAAAGCAATTTTTTGGGTCTTTAGGGTTTTGAGGTTTTGGGGTTGGGGTTTAGGGTTTGAGGGGTTTAGGGTTGAGGTTTTTTGGGTTTTGAGGGTTTTAGGGTTCGAGAGGTTTAGGGTTTTAGGGTTTGAGGGTTTTGGGGTTTTGAGGGTTTTAGGGTTTTAGGGTTTGAGGGTTTGGTTTTTTGGGATTTAGGGTTTGAGGGTTTGAAGGTTTGAGGGTTTCAGGGTTTCAGGGTTTCAGGGTTTTAGGGTTTTGGGGTTTTTGGGGGTGTTTGGGGTGCTTGGGTCTTTGGCTTCAGGGTTGTAGGGTTTAGGGATTTCGGGCTAGGGTTTTAAGGTCTAGGGTTTAGGGGTTTAGGGCTTATTGGGTGCTATGGGGCTTATATATATATATATATCTCTCTCTCTCTATATATATATAACTTATAGGGCTAAGATGGTTTGTAGGCTCTACAGGGCTTGGAGATTGGAAGGTCAGAAGCTGCTTTCGGGCCCCCTAAGCACAAAGGAGGTTCGCTGGAATGGAGTCGCCAGAGCTACTACAATTTGCTTAAGACCCCCCCCCCCCCAAAAAAAAAAAAAAAGCAAGCATCCCTAGGTTGCCTTTTTCAGGAAGAATATTTTGGTTCTTAAGGAAATAGTAGGGGAGGGCCACACTAGCTAGATTGTCCTGCATGTGGGGTTGAAGGTAGACGCGTTCATCAGGTATCTATCAGGGCCCGAATTCTTGTGCGGTGGTGGTGAGGGGTGAGAACTTTCAGCATGGCTTTTCGCGCCTGGCATCTCTTTCATAGTCGTGCTTTCTGAGAGATGACCATAAGAGTCCCTTAGACGGACGACGCATGTGTTGCACCTTACCCTGCGTTTGCTGTATATTCACCCTAAACCCTAAACCCTAAACCCTAAACCCTAAACCCTAAACCCTAAACCCTAAACCCTAAACCCTAAACCCTGAATGTGTGTGTACTTCTCGCTCTCAGGCATCCTTCACTGTACAGCTGGAGGACAGAGCCGCAGCCCGGAGTACCCCCCTTCGTCCCGAGGGTGGTGCCTACTTGAAGTCTCAGGGGGGTAGTTCTAAGTAGGGTTTGGGGTTTAGGGTTTAGGGTTTAGGGTTTAGGGTTTAGGGTGGTTCTTGAAGCTTCATGGGCACTTATATAAGTAGGGCTGTAGGTACCCTAGATAAGGTTTTCACCACTGACAACCATAGTTACTGTAGTTGTCCCACTTCTCGCCCCAAGTAGTGTTCGTTTCGCACATCATGGTCCTCACAGATAAATAGGGGTCGGAACACTTACTAATAGCCATCCTTCCCTTAGGCTCCCTTTGTAATTATGCTATAATAGCCCTAAACCCTAAACCCTAAACCCTAAACCCTAAACCCTAAACCCTAAACCCTAAACCCTAAACCCTAAACCCTAAACCCTAAACCCTAAACCCTAAACCCTATTCTAAGTATGCAGGCCCCTATATTCCGTGCAATTCTCAGGAGCTTCGGGCAGCCAAGAAGGCCCTCGAAGGCCTTGACATTCTGCAGCGAGGATGTGGGGTTTAGGATTTAGGGTTTAGGGTTTAGGGTTTAGGGTTTAGGGTTTAGGGTTGAGTGACCTCAACTTTCTAGAGATCTGGGGGTTTACGTACCTTATTGGGCCATTGTGGTCCTTATTATCAAGGGAATCCTTCTCTTTGTTAGGGTTTAGGGTTTAGGGTTTAGGGTGTAGGGTCTATATTAAGGTCCCTTGTTCTCGTAAACCCCCGCATGTTAAGCAGTTCTACCCCAACACGTCGTCGCGCTGCAAGAGTTCTTATAGCTCCGAGCCCCAGGCGAGATGTCGCAACGGCTTGAGGAGAGTGAGGCGCCTGGTTTGGAGACTCAGGGAGTGTTTGGTTTAGGGTTTAGGGTTTAGGGTTTAGGGTTTAGGGTTTAGGGTTTAGGGTTTAGGGTTTAGGGTTTAGGGTTTAGGGTCTTCAGGTAGGGGAGTCGAGTCATCCGCATCTTGACACTGTGCTCTGCTGCTCGCTGTTTCCGCTTGCTCGACTAAATAACACCACCACGACACCTCTCTCAATTCGCCTTGTCATCTGACACGTGACACCCTCCCTAAAGAGGCGTTTCTGCGAGGTTGAGAATCATCATGAGTGGGTTTAGGGTTTAGGGTTTAGGGTTTAGGGTTTAGGGTTTAGGGTTTAGGGTTTAGGATCACAATCTATGGAAGTGTTTGTGGGGCTCCTCTGTCCAACTTGAGTCCAGATCTTCTCTGGCGCAGCTCCTACTTGGAGGTCCGGTAGTTCTAAGTGGGGTTAGAAGTGGGATCACTGCAGCTGTAAGTGGTTAGAAGCGTAGTTTTGGTAGTTATATCCCTATACTTATAGCTATCCATGAACCTTCAAGAACCACCTTAAACCCTAAACCCTAAACTCCAGACCCTACTTGTAGCTACCCATGAAGCTTCAAGTACAACATACAGGCTCGGCACGCAAAGACCCAGATGATGGCCTTGGAGTACAAGGCGTGCACCGCGCCTTGCCATGTCTCCAAAACCCCTCGGGTTTAGGGTTTAGGCTTTAGGGTTTGGGGTTTAGGGTTTGGGGTTTAGGGTTTAGGGTTTATAGGGTTTAGGCTTTAGGTTTCATAGAGTTGATCAGGAAGGTATCCTGTGCCTGCAGCTGCTTGAGCATTGCAGGCTTGCAGCATCTCAAGATTATGTATACATGGGTTTAGGGTTGGGGTTCAGGGTTTAGCTGAAATTCTGAAAGCTCTGTCTGCAGATGCATCATTTTGCCCCTAAGCCCCCGCAGCTACGTGCAGGAACAGCATCAAAAGGCACAGGCCGGCAAGGGCTGCGACTGGCAAAGCCCAGAGTCCGGGGTCGGGTGTTGTGTGGGTTGAGGGGTGCTAAAGACATTGGGTTTAGGGTTTTAGGGTTTAGGGTTTAGGGTTTAGGGTTTAGGGTTTAGGGTTTAGGGTTTAGGGAGTCCCGTAGGGGTATATACGGTATATAGAATCGGATCACTTTCAAGTTGTCTGTATGTCCGTCCGACGGGAGGAGGTTGATGAGATTCGTGGGGCAAGGGCCAAGGGTATGTCAGACTTGAGGCTAGCAGTTTGGAGGATTGTGTGCAGTCCGATGTGTCGCGAAGCAGCCATCAGCGAGCTTCAAGATTGAGATGTTGCGATCAGGAGACACACAGCACGTCATGAACACATCCTCGAAAGTTTCCACAGCCCTGGACCCTGAACCCTAAAGCCTAAACCATAGTAAGCCCTTGAACCGTATAACCCTGAGCCCTAAACCCCAAACCTTATTAGCCCTAAACTATTTGACCCTAAGCCCTACACCAGAAGCATCCCTTCTTTAAACCCTAAGCACCCTAGACCCCTAAACCGCAACCACCCCCTAAACCCCCAAGCCCTAGACCCTAACCCCCCCCGCCCCCTACGCCGCGCAAAGAGTGCCCAATTCGATATCCCGGCGCTCGCGGTCAGTGCTATCGAATTTGCTGCGACGCAAGGCTGGGACTTGCCCTTTTGTATTTTACCGACTGTTGGGGTGGGGGGGGGGTTAGGGTATAGGGGTTTATTTCGGGGGGTTTGGAGTAGGGTTCATTTGTATGGCCCGTGCTCGAAGTTTGTGGTCCGGCACTCCCTTCGCCTCGCTTCTTCTCTTGGGGCCACCAGGGGGTCTTCCCGATGCCCGGCGCCCTGCGCGGATGCTGGGAGGCCCCCGAGAACGTGGAGTTAGGGTTTAGGGTTTAGGGTTTAGGGTTTAGGGTTTAGGGTTTAGGGTTTAGGGTTTAGGGTTTAGGGTTTAGGGTTTAGGGTTTAGGGTTTAGGGTTACGATGCTTCAGGGATTTGAGGGCTCGGAAAGATGGGACTGTTCTTGGGCATGTTGCCCCCTTCTACTAACAGCTCCTTGACAGGGATTTTCGTGCCCCCCCCCATCATACTCCCTAATAAAGGACTGTTAGCATAAGGGGGAACATCCAGCCATGACCTGGTAGAGTTTCGTAGAATTCTTTCATCCGTCGCTATAAAACATCGGCACCCTCAGTCAGGGGACTCGTCGAGCGGGCAAAGAGAGATCTCTGCAGCAGTTGGGCTTAGGGTTAAGGGCTTAGGGTTAAGGGTTTAGGGTTTAGGGCTTAGGGTTTAGGGTTTAGGGTTTACGGTTTAGGGCTTAGGGCTTAGGGTTTAGGGTTTAGGGTTTAGGGTTTAGGGCCTAAGGGCTTAGGGCTTAGGGCTTAGAAGGTCTCGTTCTGCCACAAACCCTGCGCTTGAGGCTGCCTCGGCCCCCCACCCGGACTATCTGTCCGGTCCTTGCAAATCTCCACTGGAGGTTCACGGGTACTTATAAACTGGGGCTAGCAAGAAAGGCAGCTAGAGGTTACAGGTGGTTCTGTCCCTCTTGTGGGGCTCTTAATACCTGTAGCTTCTCAGATGTAGCTTACCCTAAACCCTAAACCCTAAACCCTAAACCCTAAATCCTCAGCTTCAAGTGGGGGACCAGGAAGGGCAGCTCGGGGGCTCAGGGGCCGCGACCCTTTCGGTATGTTGGGGGTGGTCTTTCCCTGGAGGAGGCAAGCCTAAAATCCCAGCACCCGCTGTGGAGGGTTTAGGGTTTAGGGTTTAGGGTTTAGGGTTTAGGGTTTAGGGTTTGATGGCCTTTTATTTCAAAGATACACAGAGCAAGAACTAATTAGCAGGATGAATGTGGGGGTTTAGATCCCCCAAATAGTAGGATCCGCTTCTAATAAGGACCCCAATAAGGTACCCCTAAACCCTAAACCCTAAACCCTAAACCCTAAAGCCCTACCATATTAACGTGAGCGCCCGACTTGACCCGAAAGCTGAGGTTCTGGGCGACCACACCATCCTGGCCCTCGAGGCCAAGGAAAGGCGCTTTCCTGGAGGCCATGGTTTAGGGTTTAGGGTTTAGGGTTTAGGGTTTAGGGTGTTTAGGGTTTCGGGTTTCGGGTTTAGGGTAACATGTAGAGTCTAGGGTTTTCGGTAGCCCGGTGGTACCTTTTTGGCTTTTTGGGTGTAAGTCCTATAATCGTACAGGAGGCTGAGTAATATCCACTTCTACTCCTCACAGAGCCAGAGGAATGACGACACAAAATATGCATTAGGGTTTAGGGTTTAGGGTTTAGGGTTTAGGGTTTAGGGTTTGACGCCCTTATCTTCGGCCAAATAAAGTTGAGCTGCGGCCTCGGGCCCTGCAGCAAGGAGGTAGCCGCGCATGGGTGCCGGAACTCAAGAAGCTTTTGCAAAGTGGCGGAGGTATTCAGGATTTCAGGGAAACAGGTCGATGAAAGCTGTGAGCCTTGCTGGCTTTATTCTCTCATTTTTTTTTGGGGGGGGGATGTTCTCAAAATTGTGGTCCCTTTTGGGCGGGGTGTGGAGGTAACCCGGAGTCCAAATCGGAACGGAACATCTTGGTCCTGGATCATCTTTTGCCGCTGACTGTGGGGTTTAGGTTTCGGGTTTAGGGTTTAGGGTTTAGGGTTTAGGGTTTAGGGTTTAGGGTTTAGGGTTTAGGGTTTAGGGGGTATACCACAAGGGTTTGGGGGGTTCAAAGCTGCACAGGGGACAGCTGGGATACTAACGCAGGCTCATCTTCAGGGCCCCTAAGAACGGACTTCTTGCATGTTCTTCATGCTGCTTGGTAGCCCAGTGGTACCCGTTTCCCCCTTGTTTGGTTTTACTTAAGGGTACCCATATTATAGTATGGTTGCTGCAGCCACTCCGGTATGGGCTTATTTCTTGAAGCAAGAACTGGCCCAAGGAGCTTAAAGGATTTAGGGCTCATGGAATCCAAAGGCATGGCATCTCTCAGAGAAGTTCTTCGGCTTGGCCCGCTTTGTCAGGTGAACCATCCGCCTACGAGCTTCTTCCTTGCCGGAAAAGGCAGCAATTTAGGGTTGCTGGTCCCTCTTTGCTCGTGGGAGACTCCAGGCAAAGCAGGTTTTGCGGGCTGGTCTGTATATAGGGTAGGATTTAGGTATTGCTGTACCTAAGGGTTGGGGCGGCCTGACTCCGAACCCCCTCGCTAAAGCCCCAGCACCTAGACTTGCGGCAGGTATCTGAATTTCACGCAATAGGTACAGCCCGTGCACACATGCAGGCATCCAAGACCCTTCTATGAGTTATGATGACATCCACGGGTGGGCTATATCAAGCCTCGAAGCTCTTGAACAGGTGTTGATGACGTGAGAGACCCAGGACGAACTTGCATCTGCGTGATGTCTGCGCCGGGAAGCAGTCAAGAGCAATAAAGGAACCTTTTTCAATGCCATTCGGTATTCAGGGTACAGTATTCAGAGTAGTACATGTGAACTTTTGGGGCCTAAGTATAGGGGGATAGGATCGGTTTGGTATGTAGGCTCATGTCTTGCCGCTTCAGTGAGACCGTACTGTGCAACCTGGCACTGAGGATCAGCGCACAGAGTTTGGGGAGCCATTCATCGGAAACACAGATGTTGGCAAAGTTCAGGGGTCCTTGTCTCAGCTGTGACGCAGATTTCGATCGCTCCTCGTCGACAGGCATCCGGGCATCCGAATACTCATGATGCCCTGGGCGAAGGGCTGCGTCATGCACTGTGCATCTGGCATGCAGCTGCAACCCGGAACGAGTGGGCGCATTGAGGAGTTATTCGGAGAACCGGCTGTGCCTTCATGCACAAAGGCAAAGGTCGTGGGCGCGACGCCTACCCAGTCCTACTCGCCGTAGCTCCGCACATATGATTGGACTCTAAGTCGACGATGCAACCATCCCTCAGACGTCAACGCATCACACATCTCTCGATCACTGTACGTATATTGTGTCTACTCTAATTCTATATATATATATATTATTCATATGTGTATATGTATATACATATGTGTATATATACTTGCAGCTGTGTAAGCATATATGTATGTGTCTATATATATATATATATGTATATGGAGATGTATTATCCAAAGATCAGACTGAAACCATGATGGGGATCCTTTGGTTGGATGGCCGCATGAATTTCTGCTTCTAGAAGCAAATGAACAAACAGGTACCCCAAAGAAGTCAGTAAACATGGATGCACAGAACTAATAATGATAAGAATAAGAATAACAATAACAATAATAAGAATAAGAATCTCAACAATAATAATAGGAAGAAAACATAAAATCCAAATACCTATATGTATATCAACATATACACATATATACGTACGTATATGTCTGTCTATATATATATATATATACACACTGATTGTACGTCTGTGCACACCTTACACCCTTCCCAAAGTGCCTCAATGAGGCCGAAAGCGCTCATGAAACTGGCCAAAGGTGGGGCCGAGGCAGGCGCCATCCAGATGCCTAGTGTATGTCAATGTGCAGTGGGTTTAGGGTTGAGGGCTTAGGGCTTAGGAGGCTTAGGGCTTAAGGTTTAGGGTTTTTTAGGGAATGGGGTTTAGGGTTCAGGGTTTAGGGTTCAGGGGTTAGGGTTTAGCTGAAGGGCTGCGGGCTTCCTTCCTTCCCTCAAGATTATCGGGTGAAGCACTTAGAGTTTGTGAGTTCATTTGTAGGGTTCCGTTCCCAGATGAGTTGGAGTAGCAAACTTTTCATCCGCGACTTTGCTGCTAGCTATGATTGTAGTCTAGAGACAAGGGCGTTTTTTGTTAAGGGGCACTCGAAAGGGTTTGTACAGCCTCGGAAGACTCCAAATCTTCAAGAGCACCATAATAGTAATAGTACTAGCAAGAAGGATCGTAGTCATAACATACCGATCCGGTCTGAGCTTTTAACGCTCGACCATGGCTGCACTGCATCCTCCTCAGCTCCGTGGGGGAGGGGTGGGGGCCATGGTGCGTGAACCTGGCAGGGGTACTTGAAGAAGAAGATCAAGGAGGCGCGGCGCCAAGTATGTAACCAGTTTTGCAAAAGTCGCTGCAAACTCTGATAGCTCCAGATGCCTAGTGAAACGGAGAAGGGCCTCCGAGCAAGAATGTCACTTTCGCTTAGTCCAGCCTTGTAGCCATGCAGCTTGTGCATGCACCAAGGCTTGCAGACCACCTGCATGTGTGTTTGGCGTCCTCTTGGTTTCTACTCGGCTACAGCTTCGAGTGGATACTTCGGGAAACTGCCCTGAGCCCTCATCTTCCTAAACCGTAAACCCTACCCCATCATTGTATCAACCATGTTGCGCGTCCCATGCCCCGCGTGGACTCATCGGGGCCGTGCACGAGACGAAACTCCAAACTAAGTCCATACCCTTGCTCAGGGATGTAGATTGGCGAAGGAAAGACCTACAAAGCTAGATAGAAGCTTCCATGCACCTTACGCAGGACCTTATATTACTTAAGATTGCTGAACCTGAAAAGAGTGGGCGAGGTTCTTAAGGGTGCATGTAGCCAACTCAGGCCTACGACGAGCTCGAGATGAACGTCGGCGCTGCGGATCTCGATCCTTTCACGCAGCGCCCTCGGGTTTGGTAGGACCTGGGCGACGTAGGGTTGAGCGCTTAATAGGGTGGCTTTAGTTTGGCTACGGGCTGATTATGTAGTGACCTTTCTACACTTTTCGTTTAAGAGGTTTGCGGCACACCCTCGCGCTTCGGTTGGAAGGCTGATGCGGATGTGATTGATTGTCACATGCAGGTTCTCAGGACAAAGAGTTTCTCAGCTACGCGCATGTGGAGCAGTAGATGAAGCCACATGAAGTCGCCAGCAATATGATGCCTACAGTCCAAGAAGCACCAGGCCGCACCATGGCAGTGATCCCTCTGTCGCAAAATAGGCGGCCCTGGTTACCCTGGTTACTACAAGAACCGTCAAACTAATCCGGATTGGTTCATGTCAAACGGTTCTGCAGGCACCCCCGAATACGGAACCTACTCCACACCTAACGCCCTTAACACCCTTAACACCCCAACGCCCCAACACACTAACACCCTAACACCCTAATACTAAACCCTAAACCCTAAACCCTAAACCCTAAACCCTAAACCCTAAACCCTAATACTCAAAAGCCCCACATCTTGGCCCCCAGGGACCAGGCCTCGGAGTATGCGGTCAACGCTGCTCGGCCCGAAGTGTGGTGTGGAGTCAAGCAGAGCTTCCAGAATGCTTCAGGGGGGTTTTCGGGTTGAGGGTTTAGGGTTTCAGGGACTGTGGTTGGGGGATGCTGGAAAGGGGCCGTCATGTGTGCAAAGTGTTGGAGCTTTCCATTTGTCAGACCACGATCATGGCGCCAGAAGAGCAAATCTGCAATCTTGCATGGGCCAGGAGCTCTGGAAGTCCTTTGAACCCCCAACACCAATGTGGAGCGGTGTCGCCATCTCAGGCACAGACTGCAGCCTGGAAAGCCACACGCCGAGCCCTCAGTCCGCGAGTGGGTGTGGGTTCCCTTAAAACCCGTAAATGGGCACCCTTTTCATTCCTACGTTTAGGTGCATAAGTCGGAAGCCAGGTGCTGCCGAGCAAAGTCTCCGGCGCGAAGCGGGTCTTGGGCGCCGGGTGGCCCAGATTTCGCGCGGCGCGCTTCTGCAGCGAGACGGGTTCAAGGGCTCAAGGGCCCCCTGGCTGCCTACCTGGGCCTGGGAGTCCATTTACCTGCAGTTTGGTTGTGGCTCACCCTGAACTAGGGGAATCCAGAAAGCTGTAGGTCAATAGGGTCCAGGTCCCTAAACCCTAAACCCCAAGCCCCTAAACCCTAAACCAAAAGCCCCTGAACCCTAAACCCCAAGCCCCTAAACCCCAAGCCCCTAAACCCTAAACCCCAAGCCCGTAAACCCTGTTTGAGGGACCGCAGCAGCGGTCACGGCTTCAGAGGCTTAGGGGGGTTTACGGGTGTGCGACACGGATAGCTAGTAGGGAATGAGGGAATGAGGTACCCTATATAATCCCTTAAAGGGTGTATATATATATGTATATAGTATATTTGATTTATTTATATAGAGGTACCCTATATAATCCCTTAAAGGGTATACATATATATATATATACAGGGACTTTACAGGGTACCTCATTAACTCATGCCACAGTAAGACTAAGGGCACTGCAGGGCTTGCGGGGCATGGGGCAACGTTGCTAGCGGCAGTTCGCTGGGCATGTGAATGCGGCACATGTTGCTTCATCCGGGGTTTAGGGTTTAGGGTTTAGGGTTTCGGGTTTCGGGTTTAGGTTTTAGGGTTTAGGGTGTAGGGTTTAGGGTTTAGGGGACTTGTTTAGCCCAAACGGCCCCCCAACCCCATCCCCAAACCCTAAATGGGGGGCATAATTGGGCATCATGGACCCAGGCGTCCCGGCCAAAGTGGACTATGCCTGGAAAGCCGCGATGCAGGCGCAATGAAGCCGAGCTCCAGATGCTAAGCATCGAGCCTTCAAGACCCTCCACAAAAAAAGCATCCGTCCCTTTAAGCTATTACTTGAAGCTTAGAACCCCTCAACTCCCTAAACCCTGAACCCTGAACCCTAAACCCTAAACCCTAAACCCTAAACCCTAAACCCACCCCTAAACCCTAAATCCTTCAGAGAACACGCTCCCAAAACGGCGAAGGCTCCGTTTGCCAAGTCAATGCCGTCCCCCGTGTAGGCCGTGCGCATGGCGCACTCGCAGCGTCTGGTTGCCAGCTACTCAGAGTCAACCGTTTTGTTTGTGGAGTGCTACCATGAACGCAGGCTCGTGGAACAGTGATTAAGAGCGCAAGCCTTCCTTCAGATCTTGCGTTAAAGTGTTACCACTATGCTTGGGGACGAAATGAACCCTAAAGAAGGGTTTATGGTTCGTATACCTTAATATGAATTATGTAGACCCCAATTTTAGGGGTTCATATACCTTAATCGGAATTATCGTAATATAGGGTATATGACACCAAGTTTAGGGGTCATTTGGTCCCCTTAAGGATAGGTGCAGTTCTCAGGATGAGCAGCTGGACGTCACACGCCAGGACCGTGGAGACCTGAGGTTGTCGGCTGCAGCTGTTTTTGAAAAGTGGCAATATGGCAAAAAATGTGGCCAAAAGTACACCGGCTTATCCTTGACCAGCCTTTTACCATGACATGTGTCTGTGTGTGTGAGAGATTGTGTGTGTGTGTGTGCGTGTGTTGCTGAAACGGCCAACTCCGCTGGAAAGGCACCCTAGACCCCATGTTAACCCTAAACCCCAAACCCTAAACCCTAAACCCCAAACCCTAAACCCTAAACCCTATACCCTATAAACCCTAAACCCTAAACCCTAAACCCTATAAACCCTATAAACCCTATAAACCCTAAAACCTGAAAGCGCCGGCGAGGTCATCAGGTCAACGCGGCTGTCGACCAGCTCGTGGGCAACATCCAGGAAGCGGTGGAGCAGCCCATGCCCCGGTTCAAAGAGTTTTTTTCGTATCTATAGGTTTAGGGTTTAGGGTTTAGGGTTTCGGGTTTAGGGTTTAGGGTTTGGGGTTTAGGGTTTAGGGTTTCGGGTTTCGGGTTTAGGGTTTAGGGTTTAGGGTGCAGGGCTTAGCAAGCTCAACGTTTCAATTGGCGGGGGCTTGTGTCGGGCCAAAGTCCCGTTAAACCCTAAAACCCCAAACCCTACACCCTAAACCCTTTTCCGCTAAGCGTCAAAGCCGATGTTGGTCTCACAGCCTTCCGCAACAGAGGTGAGAGGTATCATATATACATATATATATATATACTTATATTTATGTTTATATTTATATTTGTATTTATATACATACATACGCTAACCCACCAACCCCAACTCTACTACTGCTCTTTGCTTTATGTGGGGGGGGGGGGTACCATACATTTGTGTATGTACGCCCATATTTGAACGTATATCTCTATATATGTTATATACATATATATATATATATATATGCATACGCATTGGAAAGGAAGGACTAAAAAAACTGACGGCGGGCGGATGTTTGCCTGGTTTCCATGCCTTGCGTAAGGGTGCAGGGCGGCCTTCCGAAATGGTGCGGGCAGCATGAATTGGAGTCTTGGGGGCTTCAGGCCACGGGGGACTAGACGGCTGCGCTGTGGAATACCTACAGTTTCCACGAGGTAGGGACTTGAGTTCTGCGGTTCCTGTTGCTGATGCGTTGCCGTGATCTTCACGGGCTGTTGAGAAATCATAGGTGGGTTTCGGGTCTACTAGAGCCTGGGAGTTGTGCATCGTTTGCTTACGTACATCCCCGCAGTGGCGGAGGACGAGCCCTCGAGCGTCCACGTCAAACTTACTCGGAGGTTCGTGGCTGGTAGCTACAAGTGGGGTTATAAGGTAACGATGTTTGTACCTGCTTAAAACCTTCTTCGTGGTACGTATGACCCCTTGTAACTACCTATGAACCTTCAAGTAGCATTCTCACAGTAACCCTGTGCGGGAAGGTAAGTACACAAACAAAGAAGGCAACTTCCCGTTTTCCAAGGTATAATTTGAGGGTTGCTCCACATGATTTAAGTTTGATCTTCGGTATCTCCGCCTTGAGCCGCTAAGGGAAGACCCAGTCCAGAAGGGGCGTTGCCGGCCGGTTTGCCAGCGCCTACCCAGCTCACCTCGCACCTTAGAAAAGGAGCAGATTTCCCCAACATGAAGGTTCCTCTAGGTAACTTCTCCATCATACGGGTAGTTCTCAAATTTAGGGTCCCTTTTGGGGGGTCCTTTCATTGGGGGTCGACTAGCCGTGCTTTGGGTCCAAGACTTCTGAGATTCAAACTGGTCGAATTGGCAAGTCGAGCTGCAATGTCTAGTACAGTTTCTTGGTTTCATGTGGGTAGTTTCCCTTACCGGAGTCTTACACGAAAGCTTACATAAAGCATAAAGCCTACACTGTTCATAAGAGGCTTGTATAAATTGAGCCTACCCACCTGTGACTGTCCTTGTGATGCGTGTGAAGATGTTCGGGTTGAAGACTTTCTGGCACCGGAAGCTTTTCAGCCTTAAGAAGTTCTTTGCCATACCAGGTAGGGTTGGTTCAGTCAGCCCTAGACTCTAAGCCTTCCCTCGTATAACCCTAAACCCTCAACCCTAAACCCCAAAGGTGGTACTTGGGCCGAGCAACGCCCACCTTATTCATGCACGGCAGCTTCGGATAACTAAGTACTACTGTTTAAGAGCCTCCCCAACAAACATGCAACATTCTTCCTCAAGGATCATCTAGGGAATATATATATATATGTATATGTATATATATATAATATAGATATACTTCTTTTTGTGTGGGGGGGTTTCTGAAGCAGATAGTACACACTGCCTGCCTTCTCCGTGAGCCTGCATCTAGAGTCTAGAGTTCTTTTCATGCACGCCAGGGTGGCTGTCGAAGCTGTGAAGAGAAGCCTGGCGCTCAAGATGTGTGATGTCACCTTGTATTATCACCGTGTTCTTGCAGGTAATGCTGTTTCCAGCTGCAAGCTGTGTCTGCGTCTGTGTCTCTGTGTCTCTGTGTGTCTCTGTGTCTCTGTGTCTGTGTATCTGTGTGTCTGTGTGCCGGTGGCAATAATAACGTGGGAGGGGAGGGGGGCTTCTGGGCCCTTTCCGGGGCTCTTCGTTCCGCTTCAGGACTGTCAGTATAAGGGGGGTACATCCCAGATTTCAAGGGACACTACGTGAGAATCATGAGTAGCTGAGCGACTCAGTTTGGCCTAGATATCGGTGCACAGCCTAGCCGCTAATACCCCCCCAACTACCCAGAGCCGAAACCCGGCTCTACTTTGGGGTGTAAGGTTTAGGGTTCTGGGTTCTTAGGGTTTCGGGTTTAGGGTAACTGTCCCTTCGGTAATCCTGGTGCCATCGGAGAAAACACATGCAGATGTCAAAATTGGTGCCCTGGAGATTATGTGCACAGCTAGGGCTTTCTCGGGTTCGTGGCGGCTTCCCTTGTGCGGCAAGCCATCAACCCTAAACCCTAAACCCTAAACCCTGAACCCTGAGCCCTAAACCCTAAACCCTAAACCCTGAGCTGTCCAGACCTGGCGCTGGTGCAAGATCTGCAGGACAAAGTCGAGGAGACCTCGAAGATTTTTGGGGGGGGGGGGGTGGGGATGGGGGGTTGATGGGGGGGTGGGCCCAAAGGCTCCAATGTAGTTCCTTTCTGGGTTAGTTATAGGGTATTAGGAGCTTTCGTCGTTGAGGGTGTTGGGTCTTGGGCTTGCGCGTGCGCGACCTGGAAGATGAGCTTCTTGAATCCGTGGTTGTAAGAAGCCCACACCTGAACCCTAACCCTAACTCCAAAACCCTAAACCCCAAACCCTGAACCCCAAACCCTAAACCCTAAACCCTAAACCCTAAACCCTAAACCCTAAACCCTAAACCCTAAACCCTAAACCCTAAACCCTAAACCCTAAACCCTTGCGGGATGCGGACGGATCTCCGGTTGACTTGAAGTTCCGAAGTGTACCGTGGCTTCGCAGAGGCTTGGCTTCCGTCTTTTCTGCAAGGGTGTGATATGTATATGTATATGTATATGTACATGTACATGTACATGTACATGTATATGTATATGTATATGTATATGGGATGTAAGGTACCTAGCTCCCCAGCTTCCTTCGAAGACTCAGAGAGTAAGATTAAGTGAAACTCGCTAGCAGAACTGGCGTTGGCGTTTTACGTAGCAGATGGCAGGAACCCCTAAGCCCCCCAAACACAATCCTAAACCCCTAACCCTGCCTGATGCCACTTCTGCCGACTTTTCTCGGGAGCCCTGTATAAGCTCCAGTCTGTGTATTGCAGAGGGCCCAAATGGCATTCATGCCCATAAAGTTGAGCAGTTCTCTGAAGTCTGGTGCTTCTGGCGTATTGTGAAATAGAAGGTTCCAGGCTCCATCTTATGACAGGAACCCCTTCCTTGGGATGTTCCCCCTTATACTAACAGTCCTTTAATAGGGAGTGTAGTACCCCCTACTATATTCCCTATCAAGGACTGTTAGTATAAGGGGGAACATCCTCAAGGAACCCCCCACTAGAGGCTAGAATTTCGAGAACCATCCGCCCTAAACCCTAAACCCTAAACCCTAAACCCTAAACCCTAAACCCTAAACCCTAAACCCTAAACCGGCAAGCACATCGGCAGGAAGACTTCGATAAGCTGGAGAAAGAGCAAGAGCTGCTTGAAGCCGAACTACAGGCACCCTCTTTCATACGATCATCTATATGTCTATTCGGGTTCATTTAGGGTTTAGGTTTAGGGTTTAGGGTTTGGGGTTTAGGGTGTAGGGTTTAGGGTTTAGGGTTTAGGGTTTAGGGTTTAGGGTTTAGGTGTATATATATATATATATGACTACGTTCTTATATTGCTAAAGTGCTATAGGTTATTGTATGATTGTACTGTTGTATTATGATGTTGAGCCCTAGTGAGACGTTAAACCCTTCTTGAGACAGTCTTTGGTTTGGTCCCCGGATCGTACCTGCCATAGCGAGCATGAAGCAAGGGTTGTGAAATGGTGTCCTGCAGGCCGAGGTTACTTGTCTGTGTCCTGCACTGCTCCCGACTCGTCTGTAGAATCCCGCATGTTTCCGGTTTTTTTGAGGAGGGGGGATTCTAGAAGTCGCGAATGTCCTGGAAGGAGGCGCAGAAGTACCCGCTGTACCCCAGCCGCGATTACGTGGTGGGAGCCTGAGACAGGGGAAGTGTTCAGAGGCTTCCGAGATCTTCAGGCCCAGCCCCAAGCCTCTTGAAGCTTCAGAGCGCCTACCGTCTTTTTGGGGTTTAGGGTTGGAACACAGGCATGGCCTAAGAAGCTCCAGAATGCCGCAAGCAGAGGTCGCGTCTGCACCAGAACCGGAAGACCCTGCGCCTCCCGAGGCAATCTGCTCGAGGGCAAGGGTTCAGGAATGAGGGTTGCCCCTGGCTCTTGGCTCGTGGCTCTTCGCTCTTGGCTCTTGGCTCTTCGCTCTTCGCTCTTCGCTCTTCGCTCTCTCTCTCTTCCTCTCTCTCTCTCTCTCGCTCCCTTCTTCCCCTGACCCTAGAAGACCTACAACCAGTACATATCTCACGCCATGCCAACTCTCTCTGCGCATGCTCCTGCAGACGATCATTGGCGGTATGGACACGGAGGTGCCAAAGGCCAGTCTGGCAAGCAAGGATGAGCGGCTATTGTTTTGCACAACCTGCATGTTTCGACAGTTTATCAAAAATGTTTTGAAGTGAACGCCATCAGGAGTCGCTACAATGCCTGCGCCACCGTTTACCTTGACTTGCCACAGAGAAGTAACTAGCGACTTGGCCCCGGGAACGGCCATTCAATGTATCATTCCAACAAACCGGATGGTGGTCGTGACACTTCTTCAACAGGTACACTTCAAGGTTTACGAAAATAGGGTGGACCCCCTAAAATAGACCCAAAAAGCAGGATCCCCTGATCATAAGGACCCCAATCAGGTACCCCTACGAGCGTAAACCCCCACTTCAGGGTATAGCTCGTCTGAAGACCACCAGGACGGGCCATCATACCCTCTAACCCCTTAAAGAAGCCCTTTATAAGGGTTGACTATGGGTATCGCAAGGCCTACAAAGCCCATCCTGGCATGCCGTTTTTCATGGCAATGCTTGCCACTTGCGCCAGCGCATCATTGTACGACGCTCTGGTAGAAGCTCCGGACCTGTGGGCTGATGGTTTCGATGTCCCAGTTCTGCCCTGTCGGCGGGGCAGCTTCTCATTTGAGACCTGCTGCCAGGAAGATACTGACCTCAGCAACTTGGGTCACTGCTTTCAGAGACAGTCGCCCGATCACCTGAAGTTTGCAAGAGAGGTTTGCTGCGATGATAGGTCCGCGGTCATCATGACGAACAACATCATGATCAGCGCCACCGAACTGGGGGAGTGCCTGGCAAATTGCACCTGTACAGACCCAGAATTCCCTGATTGCCAGTGTGAGCGGAAGTTTCTGCACAAGGCCATGCAATTGGCTTCCCTGCCACGCAGGTGGAAAGCTGGGTTTGCTCGCTGGCTGACGAAATCTGGGAGGCCGCCGTTGAGAACAGAGCAGGACTATGAGGACTGCGTCTTGAGAAATCGTCGTGAAGCGCTTCGTTATTGGGAGCATCTGATCATGACAAGGCAGATGGCCACCGTGCCCGAGCCCAATAAACCCGTCAAGCCGCCCATCTATCGCATCCCCATGACCCGGGAAAATCATGCGGAGGTCTCCCAGCTTCAAAAATGGCAGGTGCAAGAAAGGCTGGAGCGGATCCACCGCAAGAACCGGGCGACGAAAATCTCGAGCTCCACGAGCTCTGGGTCCATCCCAAGTAGCTCGTCCACTTCGAGGTTGGGGGTGCACATTGCCATGGTGGCGTCCATTGGGCAGCCGGTCTTTGGACGCTTCACCCTCGCCACGATCCGATCTGCCCTCTTCCACGCCACGCGCAGGAAGCTGCACTTCCACCTCCTGGTGGACAGCGCTGGCCAGAACCTTGGGGACGAAATGAACCCTGAAGGGTGGTTTATGGTTCATACTACCTTAGTAGGAATTCGAGTCATGGTGGGTATGCGACACCAATGTTAGGGTTCACTTGGCCATAAGGAAGGATATGCTGAGGGCCCTGAGCAGCTTGGAACCTGAGCTGCATGCGAGGGTGGGTGGGATCCACCTCTACGGCCCGGAAATCTTGAAAGCCAACTGGAACTTCCTGGTCCCTATCTCCCCCTTGGGAAGTATTTTTTTGTTTATATCAAGCCCAAGAGGATAGTAAGCAATATTCTTTTTTATTAAGGTTCTAAGGGGGAGTCTAGGTCCGCCGGATCCCTCCAAGCTGCTTCAAGTTCGCCGGCAAGTATGGGTCGCCAGGGTTCTTCCGCCTGTTTCCGCACGTCCTGTTTGCCAACACGGGGGTGGAGCACATGATCTGGACCGACGCGGGCGACTTCCTGTTTTTCGCGGATCCTGCGCTCCTTCTTGAAGAGCATCTGCGCAGGGTGGCGGAGGGAAGCCCAAGAATGGCTGCCACCTACCCGAGAGGGTGCCCCTGGGCTTTGCAGATCTTCAGCTTCAAGGTCATGGAGGAGGTGGGGTGGACCTCCCAAGTGAGCGACTTTTTCCGCACCGAGTGGCGCACCAACCGAAGTGGAGATCATCAGAGGCTTTGCCACTTAGAGTCCTATCACACCATGGTGGGCATCCACAACTACCTGCCCGAGCTCTTTGGTCCTGTCTCACAGGAACCTTGGGGACCAAAGGAACTTTAGGGTTTAGGGTTTAGGGTTTAGGGTTTAGGGTTTAGGGTTTAGGGTTTAGGGTTTAGGGTTTAGGGTTTAGGGTCATATTCCCTTCCGTTACTCTAATTCCTCTAATTCCCATGAAGGCCATATGAGCCATAGACCCTTTCAGGGTTCATGTCGTCCCCAAGGAATGGGGGCACGAACCGCGGATTCCGTGGTTCACCGGACTCTTGCAGCAGCCGGAGAACCTCGAAAGAATTGGCTTCTTACCTGGCAGGCCAGTGGTACCCTTTACCTTATTTTTGTGGTTATGGGTTGCCTTTAAATATCCAACCCAAAAAGGGTGCTGCGATTATAATATGGTTGCTGGGCTACCAAGGATTGGCTCCGGAGGTTTGGGAGAATCGCCAACACCCAGGCCTCATAGATCCCACCCGGGCCTACATCTACTGCCCAACAGTTCCTTGGGAACGAAATGGGCCCTAACAGGCTTTGTGGTTCATGTACCTTAACAAGAAGTATGGGGTAGTATAGGGTATCTGACCCCCCCAATTTTTTGGGAGGTTCATGTGGTCCCCAAGGTTAGCGACTTTGTGTTGCACAGCTTCGTCACATTGCCATACTATCCGGTCTTCCTGGTTGACCTGGCCCAGATGTTCAAGCTGGCTAGGGAGGCAATCGACTTCCTCAGTGAAGCTTAGTAGTAGAGTAGAGGGTTCAGGGTTCAGGGTTTAGGGTTTAGGTTTTAGGGTTTAGGGGTTAGGTTTTAGGGTTTTGGGGTTTAGGGGCCTTGTTGGGGTATGATATTTCCTATACATTTTCCCCAAGGTTAATCTCCAGTTTTCTAGGCTACTGGACAACTAAGGAAGACTACGTCGAGTCGCCCGAGTATGGGAGCCAGACATATCGCTGTGGCCGGCCGGTGCTACTGGGCAGGGTTTAGGGTTTAGGGTTTAGGGTTTAGGGTTTAGGGTTTAGGGTTTAGGGTTTAGGGTTTAGGGTTTAGGGTTTAGGTTTAGGGTAGCCCAGTGGTGCCCACGTTAATTTCATGGCTCCCTTCTAGAGGAACCCACCCCCCAAGAAGGGGGTGCCCTTGTTGGAAGATGGTTGCTGGGCTACCAACCCTGAACCCTATACCCTAAACCCTGAACCCTGTACCCTAAACCCTAAACCCTATACCCTAAACTCTCTACCTCAAGGCTTGGCATGCACATGCTGCGGCAATTTCATTGGTCGGTCCCCTGGTCTTTGCGGCTTTTAAACTTCTGGAGCAACTCAGAAGACCTGTGGCCTCCTCGTCGGGGGGAGAGCTGGGGACTCCCCGCCCGTTTGGATGCAATAGAGTAGTTCTGAGTTATTAATTATAGCAGGACATGCACGATCCTGAGCAGCAGTCTCTTTAAGGGCTTGAGGCTACCGCGACGGCGCGAGCACTCTTGCCCCACCACCTTTTCAGATTATGAATTTCCCCTGTGGATTTCCGCAAGGGAAATAATTGGGACTCCCCGAGGTTCCCGTAAAAAACGGGAATCTTCTCGATGGAGCAGCGCGTGCCCTGAGAGGCAGCTTCGTAAACGGCTGCCACCCTGAGGTGCGACAAAAAGGCTCTGCCCTTGGGGACGAGATGAACCCCGAAATGGTTTATGGCTCTTATACCTTACCTTAGTAGGAATTATAGGAAGATGTTCATACACTTAATCGGAAAACAAGTAATATGAACCCTATTAAAGGGTTTATGGCTCATTACTGCGCCAGGACGAAAGTTCGTCGCATCGGGCACGTATGCCAGCATGTGCGTGCAACCCCCCACCCCCATAGACTCCTCCACAAGACGTGTCTCTGGGGCGCGGAGGATTTAGATTCCTCCGTCGGAACAAAGAAGTACCATCTGTTTAAACAGAGCGGAAATTCCTCCGCTGGCCAGGCCACAGAAAATGTACTTCCGCGTACTCCGAGTCCTCCACTAACACAAGATATGCAAGTGCGACAAAACTTTCTTCCTCCTGATGTATACCTTAAAAGAATTGTAGTAGTATAGAGTAAATGACCCCAATTTTAGGGTTCATTTGGTCCCCAAGGTGTGGCAAACGGGCCGCGTTGTTTTTTTCTGCCTTTTCTGAGCCTTTCGTTGAAAGCTTAGGGTTGGGGTTGGGACACAAGTGGCTTTAGGGGTACCCATTGGGGATGTTCCCCCCTTATACTAGCAGTCCGTAATGGGGGATTATAGTAGGGGGTACGATATTTATCCCGCTTAAGGACTGCTAGTATAAGGGGGAACATCCTTAAACCCTAAACCCAGAACCCTAAACCTAAAACCTGTTGGTATACCTGAACCCCCCAACTACCCTTTAATAAAGGGGGTTTATGTACCCGACTATTTTGGTTAAAGGGTCGTTGGGGGGTGCTTTTTGAGGGAGAGCATCCCAAGTTACCCAGAAATCCCATTCTTTGAGCTTTGTCGAGGCCGAGGACACGGCCCAGGTGGCCTATAAGATGTGAGGCCACGCCGGCAGCTTCAAAGAGGTTTAGGGTGTAGGGCGTATAGGGTGTATAGGGATCTGCATAGGGTTTATATGGTTTCAGGTGTAGGGTTTTTAGCTTCACACGGTAGAATGTTCAGGGTCGTAGCAAGATTCCCCAAACTCTTCCCGCTGGCCGCCGGAACCTCCGCGAGCTGGTTGAAGTTCGGGATTTTTCCCATTTTCTCCTCGCTTGTGGATCCCATCTCGAGGACATCCATCCTCCAGTTCCGAGTTCTTTCACCATGATAGGGTACCCCCTAACTATCTAGGCCCGTTTTTTAACAAGTACCCTACAGGGGACCCTAGTCTTACAGTTGCCTGACCAACGAAGCTGGCTGCGATCAATGGCAAGAAGCTCGGTGAAGTTGCCAGGATGTAGGGAATGTGGGGAAGAAAGGAAGGGGGGGGGGAGGGGGGGGAAGAGGCGAGGGCTTAGGTGGGAGTAGGAAGATGAAACGAAGCCACTTAGAATGCAGCCGTTGGCCCTTTCAGCCGAGCCCCTCCATGGCAAGACTTCCAGGCCAATAGCGAAAAGAAGAGATGGGGAGTTTGCCCAGTGGGCTTCTTGCAAAGCTTAGCAGGAGGTAGTGGGGTGGAGGGGCGGGGAGTGGAGGGCGCCGCAATGAATCGTTAGACTGAAGCTGGCTGCATTTGCTGAGGAAGTAGAATCTCAAATTCCACGTAATCACTGGACAAGGACGCCCGGAGCGATTTGTCAAGGATGTGGGCGAAGAAGTAAGTGGGTGACTGTCCCCTATGTCGGCCCCGGCTGCTCCCCAATGCCGTTCGGCCAGACCACCCACTCCAGGCAACAAAAGGGGCGCTGGGATTGTCCGTCAAGATGGGTGGTGGGAACCTGAGCATGCTCCACGAACTCCTGCGCCCGAGGCTTCGGCGGATTTTGGGGACGTACGATTTCGCCCAGACCGGCCATCGTGTTGATGTCTCGCTGGCCGTGCTACAGACAGTCCAGCCTTTCAACCTCAGCATAGACATCCAGACTTTCAAGTCCTAAATTTTAATCTCTAACAAAGTTTTCAGCACGACTGGCATCAACACCATTCCATACCTATAGCAGTAAGACCACGCCGCCACCTGGGAAGGCTGCCAAGCTCCTTTTCCCTGGACATCGACACTTCTGTCAAGTGGTGCGCGGGGCGCGTCCGCGCACTGACAGACATCCTGCGTGCTGTAGCTCAACCTTGGAGTTTACGAACATAGAGGGCCCCTAAAATAGACCCCTCAAATAGTAGGAATCCCTTAGAATAAGGACCCCAGTAAGGCCTCCCCTAATAATCGGAAACGCCCAGCTTGTTTTGGGGCTGTCAGCTTAAATCGTGTTCCACAATCAGCAGGGTGAGCATGTGGCACAGGCATACCGCCGCATTCCTACCGTAGTGGCCACCCTAACAAACGCTCCTAAACCCTAAACCCTGAACCCCGAATTACAGGTTTCGCGACCTGGGCCTGCCAACCAATGCTCCACGCGGAAAAAGTCCCAGCTGACCACCACGTGGGAGATTTCACCCTCCTGCCTATACTTAGGGTTTAGGGTTTAGGGTTTGGGGTTTGGGGTTTGGGGTTTGGGGTTTGGGGTTTGGGGTTTGGGGTTTGGGGTTTAGGCTAAGGGTTTAGGGTTTAGGGGTTTGGGTTTAGGGTTTAGGGTTTAGGGTTCTTCCCTCTTTCTTTGACTGTGTTTCTTTGGAAAACAGCAGTGCCGGTGGAAATGCCGGGCAGCACTAGTCGATCCTGCAACCTGCCCATCAGGTTAGGGGCGTAGGACTTGTTTGGAGGTTCATGGGTAGCAATTTAGGTACATGTAACTGTAGCCGGTGTTTTGACCATGTTTCGGATACTTCTAACCCTATGCACTCATAGCTACCCATGACCCTTCAAGAAATGGCTTAAGGAGGAACCCCTGGGGTCACCTACCCTATAATTCTTATTAAGGTATACGAACCCTAAACCCTAATCCCTAAACCCTAAACCCTGAACCCTAAGCCCTTTTAAGGGTTCATTTTCGGGTGCGTTTGCAGGCTGAGCTTTCCTCCATCTCGGCATCCATGCAGAAGGAACTCCAGGTCAGCTCTGCCAGGTGGATGAGTGACCCGAAGATGGGTTTAGGGTTTAGGGTTTAGGGTTTGGGGTTTGGGGTTTGGGGTTTGGGGTTTAGGGTTTAGGGTTTAGGGTTGAGGGCCCTTGACACCCTAGCCCCTAAACCCTTTACGACCCATATCGTTTTTGGACCCCAGTGCCAACGTAGTGTCCCCCGAACCCTAAATCCTAGAACCTTGCAAGCTGTAGACCTGTCTACACTTCCGGAGCACAGCAGCTCTTTTACACCCTAAACCCTACACCCTAAACCCCAAACCCTAAACCCTGAACCCTAAACGCCAAACCCCAAACCCTAAACCCTAAACCCTAAACCCTAAACCCTAAACCCTAAACCCTAAACCCTAAACCCTAAACCCTAAACCCTAAACCCTAAACCCTAAACCCTAAGCCCTAAACCCTAAGCCTAAACCCAGACAATTTTCTCAAGCTACGAACGGCCTCCTTCATGGCAGGAGCTCGCGCTGCTTTCAGGAGGAGCTTGCCGCTGTTTAGGGTTTAGGGTTTGGGGTTTAGGGTTTAGGGTTTAGGGTTTAGGGTTTAGGGTTTAGGGTTTAGGGGGTTGAATCTAGGGTCTAGGGGTTTGGTGTTTAGGGCGTTCAGGTTTTAGGGCTTTAGGGAGTTCAGGGTTTAGGGAGTTTTGGGTTTCGGGGTTTTAATTTAGGGTTTAGGGGGCTTGGGGTTTAGGGTTTAGGAGGTTTATAGGGAGTTTGTGGTTGGGTTGAATGGCATTGCATTGTTGGATGCGACGTGCATCCGGCGTGCGCAATACAAGTACACCCTAAATTGCTCTGAACCCTCAGCCTGAATCCTCCAAACTCCCCGGACCCGAAATGCGGTGCAAGTCCTATAATCTCCAAGGGCAAGGTCTGTTTGTCTTTATCATGGGGTGTACGGCTCAAAGATTATATGATTACATATTGTGTTTTGAGAATACTAGCGTGTTAGCATATTATTTTATTGCTAATTCTAAGTTCTTAATGTTCCTGTGTATCACAATTTTATAGTGTTATCTTCTTATATATTGGTATATCGTCACATTCTTTAAACGATTATATGATTATTTCATATTCGTTTATTATATTTTGTAGTTCAAGTGTCGGGCGTCAGGCTACGGGGTTTCAACTCTTCGGGCTGCGGGGCAGTAATTTGCACACTGGTCATGTCTCTCTTTCTCTGCGCACTTGTGGGGGTTTAGGAAAACAGGGGACCTGCATATAGATCCCCAAGTTGTAGGATTCTCTTATCAGAAGGACCCAATAAGTTTCGGAAACCCCCTTATGTGTCAGCTGCCATGTAGAGCCCCCCTAAACCCTAAACCGTAAACCCTAAACCCTAAACAACGAGTGGAGATGAGTGCCCTGGGCTTTTGGGCTCGCAGCGCTCGATCTGCAAAAGAGGCCTTCAGCCCTTCTGAGCATACATACAGCAGCCTTGCGGCACCAAGTCTGTCATGACCAGTTCAGTCAAGGGTTTAGGGTTTAACTAGGGTTCAGAGTTCAGGGTTCAGGGTTTAGGGTTTAGGGTTTAGGGTTTAGGGCTTAGGGCTTAGGGCTTTGGGTTTAGGGTTTAGGCCTCGTATGGGTACCCTTGCAAAGCCTGTGCAGGGATGATACCTGACACTGACACCTGTAATGCTGATGCCCCCTGCGGGTGGTGTCGGGTGTGACATCCTGTTGTTTAGGATTTAGGTTTAGGATTAGGGTTTAGGGTTTAGGGTTTAGGTTTTTAGGTTTTAGGTTTTAGGTTTTAGGATTTAGGGTATGCCTGGGACCCTTTTCACCTACAGTTTAATGGGTTATACCTACTATGGGAGGGTACCTACTACTAAACTGTAGGTAAATAGAGTCCCCCTGTAAGTCTGCTACAACTTTTGCCAAACCATTCATCCTAAGAATCTTTGTATATCATAGCTCGGGCTAGTACTCCCAGCAATATCCATCAGGGAATCATGAATCCTACACTGGTTCTGCGTTGTTTTCCAGTCCTTTTCCAGGTTCTGTCCACACATATGTGTTGCGCATGTGCTGCTTTCAATGATGCATTTGTTGTGAAGGAACAGATGCGTTGCGCTTCCGACAACAAGCGTCTGCAAGGTACCACATTAGTGGTCACACACATGCGCAGGCAAGTAGTTTTTCTGTGCACTCACGTGCTCCCCTTCTGCTCTGTCATTCTCTTCATGGTAACTCACGAGGGCTGAGGGTTTGAAGTTTCGGCTTTAGGGGGTTTGGGGAGTTGCAGGGGTTAGGGGTGCAGGGAAATTAGGGTTTAGGGTTTCGGGTTTAGGGAGTTTAGGGGTTTGGGGTTCAGGGGGACATCCCGAGGCTCCCTGAGTCACCATGCTGGACCTGATCACGATCATCTCCGCGGCAGGGTTGCAGCAGGAGCTGAGCCTCGGATGCAAGTTCAACCTGAAGCCCTGACAGCCGGTTTAGGGTTTAGGGTTTAGGGTTTGGGTTTAGGGTTTAGGGTTTAGGGCAGCCAAGTCCAAATTGCTACCGGCCGTTGAGGAGTACTGTTCACGGCCTCCGTGGCGCTGATTTTGAGATTGCTTGGCACGTGGGTGTCGTCTTTTTAGGTTGCTTGTCTACCAAGGAAGGCTGCGAACGGAGACAGGAGCCTGGTGATTCACGAGGACGTCGGGAAGAATGCTAAGAATGCTAAACCCTAAACCCTAAACCCTAAACCCTAAACCCTAAACCCTCTTTTGAGCCATGCACCTCTGAAAGAGCGTCATGCCTTCAGGGCTTCAAAAGAAGCCGTGAATCCTGTATTGAACGAGCAAGCCATGTCTAGATCTACAGGTTGGGATGTTCCCCTGAATAGGGATTATAGTAAGACCCCCCCCTTACAATCCCTATTCAGGACTGTCAGTATAAGGGGGAATATCCCACTCTACAGGTCTTGTGCAACTTGGAAGCACCTAAACCCTAAACGCTAGCGCCTAAACCCTAAACCCTAAACCCTAAACCCTAAACCCTAAACCCTGTGGAGGAGGCGGAGGAGGGAAGCTTCGTGGAGAGCGCCGCCAGCCAGGTGTCCGCAGCTCTCGAATCCTTCGATGAGGCTGGGGGAACGCGAATGTCGGTGGGGGGGGGGGGGGGGGGGTTAGGGTTTAGGGTTTAGGGTTTAGGGTTTAGGGTTCAGGGTTCAGGGTTCAGGGTTCAGGGTTCAGGGTTCAGGGTTCAGGGTTCAGGGTTCAGGGTTCAGGGTTCAGGGTTTAGGTTTACGGGGGCCTGCGGCAGAGATTAGTTGCAGTGACTCGCAGTCCGTAGGTGTTTTCAGCGTTTCTCCGTGATCCGGACCCCCAGTAATGCAGCGATTAGGGTTTAGAACGAGTCGCCTCGGCATTGCTATTGCTGGAATGAATCTAGTGTTCGGTCAGCATTTCGGTACCAAAGCCTCTCTGAACAAGATCTTGACTAGCCTGATGCACGCCAGACGCACCGCTGGCGCTCCATACCCTAAACCCCCTAAGCCCTCAACCCCATGGCGTGGTGTTAGCCATTCTTTATTCGTCCGAAACCTCCGAGCCATGGGTTCTTGTGCCACTCACCATGACAAGCAACCCCTTTCTTCCGAGCACCCAAGCTACGCGCCTATGTGGGTGGTGGGTGCTTCGCAGGTCCTTCGCATGACAGGCAAACTCCAGCCGCATCAGGTTCTGAAGGCCGACGGCCTTCTGGTGGAGCGCGCGCCGGAGATGTTTGTGATCTTTGTCTCACACCAGTGGCTAGGTTATAGGCATCCTGACCCCCAAGGGCAACAACTTGCGGCGCTGCAGGGTATTCTGCGAAACCTGATGGCTAGGAGGCTGAAAGTGGAAAGCGACATAACCTCACAGTTCTACGGTAAGAACTACATACTGAGCAAGGCGGAGCATCACCAGATATCCGAGGGCTACCTCTGGCTAGACTACCTTTGCGTCCCGCAGCTTGTGGAGGGCTATGAGACGCAAGGACTTCCGGAGGAGCAGCTCCGTTACGTGCATAGCATCCCCTGCTACGTGGACCTGAGCCATGTTTTCCTTGCCCTGGTTCCGAAGGCCGTCCATGAGAACGGAGTGGAACTCTGCGACTACTACAGCTGGCTCCAACGTGGCAGCTGGGTGATTGATTTTAATTCGGTTGCTACCTAAATCATAGAACTGTGAAGGGCGCTTGTTCTGCGGTTACGAGGGGGATCTAGAGGGGGTTTGGAGACCTTCCTTACAGAGCCCGGAACGGAATCAAGTACCCCTGAGCAAGCGATCATAAGCAATTGCTCAGGTTGGTGCCGCACAGAGTTTTGGTGCAAACTCCTGTCTACACGGTCACACATACCGATTATCGTCGTGACGGATCATGATGTGGCGAAGTTCACCACTCCGATCTGGTACCGATACCCAGTGCACACGGGCGACTTCAGCGTGGAGAAAGACCGCGCCTCGTGCAGCCGTACGATTCAGGCGGCATTGACTGAACATCTGTCTGAGCTGCGCCGGTCCAAGAACAAGACCGCCTATCGGCTCTACCTCGCACTCTTCGAGCAGACGGCCGGCCTTCCATACAGGCGCCGAAGCACGGCCCGGCGGCTTGCGCCGCGCTCTCCGGGGATGCGGAGCTGCTGCGCGTGCTCGTGAAGGCGAGGGCTTCCCTCCGGACTCGTGCGCCCGGAATGCCCGAGTTGATGGGGGCGCCAGACTTCACTCCCTTGCACTTGGCGGCATGGTTCGGCAGCCACAACCTTCACGTCTTGGAGGCGCTGCTGGAGCTGCGCGCCGATCCCAACGACTCCACTGTGGGCGCCGCCCCTCCCTTACACTATTGCCGCACCGTGGGCGCGGTGGATCTGTTGATTCGGTACGGTGCAGGGGTGAACTTTCAGGGCACATCGCGCCAGGATGCCCAATCCAGACCATGGCCACGTTGCAAGGGGAGGGCTGGCCAACTCATCGCCCCTGCACAACGTGGCGATCTGCTTCCGACAACGACTTGACGCGCAGCTGTTGCTGGAGAGGAGGGCCGACATCAGCTTTGCAAGCCCGAAGGTCTCCTCCGAAGTGTTGAGTTGGGGTGCAGGGCCTATGCGCTCTGCAGAGCCGAGCCTTCCTCGCTTGTAAAGGTCTCTTGTAACATGAGCACCACGCCCCTGGGCCATTGTGCCCAGCTTGACAACGCAGACCTCTTGCTCTTCCTGCTGTCTCCGACCCATCGACCTCGCTGCCTCTGAATCCGGGCCTACGAGATCCCGAGCCACTCTGCCTCTTGGAGTGTCAGTCTATGACAGTCAGCGAAGCCTTGTGAAGAACTGCCAGACACATGTCTCGAGTCTCGATGCTTTTATCGTTCAGCAGCTTCCGCCTTTGCTATCTGACCTGAGTTCCTTGGATCTTGTTCTAGCAGTTCTCCCGTGTGCAATAATATGCCATTTCCGATGGAGGTTACTCGCAAATTCCATCTGAAAGAAGCCCCTTGAGCGCGCGAGCACACGGAGTGTTTGGAGTTCACAACTACCCCCCCCCCCCCCCCCCCATAGAATCTGTTGAACGCCTGAAAGGTTGCTCGGAGTTTGTCGGATTTAGTCACACCTCGGGTTGCGCAAGGGGGGGGGGCCTTTTCTGGGTACCCGATAAATAGTAGGTGCCACCATATTGAATGGAGCACCGGAAAGGGGGCCATACTTAGGGAACTGCCTGCAAGCTTCGAGCCCTTGACCAGGCCGTGTCGCAGGGAATGAGCACCTCGGTCTTGAGAGAGTTTGGGGATTGCGGGGGTTCTAGATTTTGTGGGCATTTGCTATCATCCGGGTGCCCCTTGTGTACCCCAACTTACTTTTTTCAGCATTAAAACCACCGGAACATTTTGGGAACCCGACACCCTAACTAAACCTTAAACATCCTTAAACCCTAAACCCTAAACCCTAAATCCTAAACCCTAAACCCTAAACCCTAAACCCTAAACCTAAACTAAACCCTAAACCCTAAACCCTAAACCCTGTATATCAAGCCTAGGGGTCAGAGGCCTCCGCAAGGACACCCTTTGTAGCTTCTTCGGGCTCCATGCAGGAGAGGCTTGGAGCAGTGATCCGCCTGGATTGCTTCTCCGGGGCTTGGAGGTTTAGGGTTTAGGGTTTAGGGTTTAGGGTTTAGGTTTAGGGTTTAGGGTTTAGGGTTTATGGTGTATAAACCCATACCAGCAAAAAAGCTCATGGCCCAGACCAGGGTGTGGAGGGTCAGGGTTCTTTGGTCTGACATTCATGATCCCTCTGTTCCTTGCGACGATGCGGGCAATGTGCGCAGACAACCCTTCTGTAGAAGGGATTCGGGTTTAGGTTTTAGGTTTTAGGGTTTAGGGTTTAGGTTCCACAAGGTAATTCACTATATGGTGACTTCGCACTAGGTTGTGAATATTCGGGGCACCGAACCCGGGACCATCATCTTGAGAACTGACCCAGACACAAGCAAGGTAGAGGCCCCAACCCTTTCCTGGACCCTGAATTCTAAGCCGTTTCTTTGGGCAGCCCCGATTCTGCTGATGGTGGTGGTATGTGAGCCGGAAAAAAGGTACTGCCCCAACAGAGTATCTAATGACAACTCTAGGCCCCTTAAATCCTAAACCCTATAAGCCCTAAACCCGAAGAACCCTACAAACCCTAAAAACCTAAAACACCCTAAAGAGATACCCTAAACACCTGTAAGAAAAAGAGACCCCCCCCCGCATAGAATCCCTGTACACTGTAAACCCCAAAGGAACCCCTTAAAAACTCACAAAAAGAAACCCTAGAACCACCAAAAAACCCTAAAAGCCCTAAAAACACTTAGCAACCCTAAAACAAACCCTAAAGAAAGCCTAAAACACCCCCAAACAACCCTAAAACCCGAAAAACCATCAACAATAACCCTAAACACCTCAAAACAACAACCCTAAAAACCCCTGGGACAACCCTAAAAAAACCTTTAAACAACCCTCAAAACCACAAAAAACTTAAGAAATGTATTCAAAAATCAAAACCGCAAAAACAAAAAAAGAGTTAGCATAAGCTCCTTTAGGTGCCCTCTTCGGCGGCGCGAGCTCCTCTTCCGAGGAGGTCCCTGCGGCCCCCAAGAAGGTGGACGCCTGGCGCATGTTGCGGAGGTTTCGGGGGTTCAGGGTTTAGGGTTTAGGGTTTAGGGGAATAGAGTTTAGGGTTTAGGGTTTGGGGTATGGGAGTTAGGGTTGCGATCGGGGTTCGGGGTTTGGGGTTTAGGGGTTAGGATTTAGGGTTTAGGGTGAGAGGTTTTGGGTTTAGGGGGTTAGGCAGTTAGGGTTGAGGGGGCTGGGGCTCCAGGAATGGGGTGGTCTTCGATTGCGAGTGTCGGGTTCGGCTTTTTCGATTTGAGGGCTGGGGTTTCCCTTTTAAACCCTAGGCCCTAAACCCTAAACCCTAAACCCTAAACCCTGGGTCTGCCACGTCCATACACCTTAAACCATGTGGACAGCTCTCAAAATCATGGGCCCTTTTTGGGCTGAGCAACCCTCAAAAGGGACCATAAGTCATAAGTTAGAGAAGCGACCATATGGATTGCAGTAGCGAAGATTGACACTAAACCCTAAACCCTCAAACCTATACCCTAAGTTTGCAAAACCATGCCAAGGATTGAGCATCAGACGCGGGCACCGCTTGGGAAGCAGACCGGATGGGTTCGGACATGTGCCCAGAATAATCATGGCTTAAAAGTGATGTTTATTGTTGTTTGCACATTGAATCACAATAGCCAGTATCCAGGTCATAACCACAGTCACAATGCAGATGTCATACAGGTGCATGAGCAGGGTCGTCCCAAATCCTTACATGTCACCATATGAAGGTTGAGCTGTTTCATGATTCTTCTCCAGAATACAGTACATTAAACGGGACCACAATGTAGACTGGCCCCACGCGCCACCTCATAGCCACCGCCGCAGCAAGCAGAGGTAGTTCTTGCAGTTCCAAGATGAAGTAGCCCTAAACCCTAAACCCTAAACCCTAAACCCTAAACCCTAAACCCTAAACCCTAAACCCTAAACAGGCTTCAGAGCTGGTCTGGTCAGCATCCCAACTTGTAATTACAGAACCGTCGCTTGCAGGAGCGACTCAAGCAACTAAGCGCCTTGTTGTCAGATTTGAGGCGAGGTGGGTACAGCCAGGCAAGGGGAGCGAGAATCCTTGAACCCTGAAAGCATGAACCCGTTAAGGGAACCCCTAAAAACCCTAACCCCCAAGCACCCTTAAATCTCTGGAAAAAAGCCGTTGAGCTCTCTAAAAACCCTCCTGGCCTCCACCAGCCCTCGACCTTCCTCGACCATGGACTGAATTCCACCGTCCGCAGCGCGAAAAGAAAGGTTGCATTCAGCCGCGCGAGGTTTTAGTGTCGAAGGGTTTAGGTCATGTTGCCTTGAATTAGCACATCCTCGAAATCCCCGCACCTGACCATGCTGCAAGTCAGGCTTGAATTCAGCATCCTCTTGTTTTCCGGCTCAGAGCGCATTCAGCTTTCTAAGTCTGCAAGTCTGCATATTCCAGCATCCCAGAGCGACTCAGCAGCAAGTGGCCTAGGAAGTTTCATGCTGACTGGTGGACTTGGTCGAAGGGTCGCGTTGTCACAAAAGCTTGTGAACGGTCGCTGCGTTTCAACATGCGAGTTGCGGCTTACACATAAGGAGGCCAAAGACTGAAGGGTGCATAAAGCTTAGCCATATACACGAATGAGGAATGAGCACTCGCAACAGCGTCCTCTACAGCTTCCCGTGTGAGAATCACAGAAACGTATGGGGACCTGGGGGCGGTGGGGGTGGTGGGGGTGGTGGTGGTCAACTAATATATACATCTATCACACACATAACATCTGGTCCCTGAACCCTACGCCCCATTAAACCCCATACGATTTATAAGGCTCCGCTCACTTCACCATGCTGGACCTGATCACGATCATCTCCGCGGCAGGATTGCAGCAGGAGCTGAATCTCGGTCGAAGTACTCCATGTCGAATCCCGTTCCCTCATTCCAGGGGTTTAGGGCTTAGGGTTTTAGGGTTTAGGGTTTAGGGTTCAGGGTGTCTTTGCCATCGTGGGTATGATGGGTAGGGATTATGGATGGCATTTGCTGCAGCTTCTGCTGCATCTTGCATGGCTGCGGTCCTAGCAGTGCCTCAAACCCCAAAGCAAGCCCAAACCCTAAGAGGCACTCACTAAACCTCTGCCGCCACCCTAAACCCTAAACCCTAAACCCTAAGCCCTAAGCCCTAAGCCCTCAACCAAAAAACGATCCGCCGGTCCACTTCAAGGCCTAAACCCCTAATCACCGACGCCAAGGAAGACGGCCAACGGAGACAAGAGCTTGGTGATTCATGAGGACGGCGTAGACTTAGGTGCCAAGAGTTTGGTTGTTCCGAAGGTTCAAAGGGTTCCGATGTATGGGCCCTCAATCTGTATGGGGTATATAAGGGTCCCCTTTTCAGGGCCCGGACAATGAAACTACCCTAAGAGGTTTAGGTGTCAATTTTAGCAAGGTGCAATTTTCCTACAGGCTGCTGCAAGGCTCGGGTGCTGTGCAAAGCTCAGTACTTGGACCCCAGGCACTGGTAGGCCGTATCCAAACATTCCATCATGGATAGTTGCCTCCGGAGCGAAGGGAAGAAGGTGCATCTGTGCCAGAATAGTTGGAGTTTAGGGTTTAGGGTTTAGGGTTTAGGGTTTAGGGTTTAGGGTTTAGGGTTTAGGGTTTAGGGTTTAGGGTTTAGGGTTCAGCCTGAAAATCTGCAAGGAGTCCGAGGAGGGAAGCTTCGTGGAGAGTGCTGCCAGCCACGTATCCGCTGCTTTGGAGTCCTTCGACGAGGCAGCGAGCTGATGTATCTCCACTGGTTTAGGGTTTTTTGTTAGGGTAACCACATGTCAACGTACTATTTACTTCATGAGTTAATTGCTTGAGTACTGGTTTACTTGTTGTTGAAAAGATTTGTTCAGAGGATTAGTGAGGGGGTTGTTCTGAATGAAGGCCACTTTGAGTTGCCTGACATACATGGGCGCGCATGGCAGTGTGCACCCCAAAATGGACCCAAAAAATATAATATATATATATATAAAAGAAATTAAGTAATTAAACATAAAAAAATTGAATAATAAAACAAAATAGAGAACGGCCCATATGCCGTGAACAACCGGAAAACACTAAACCCCAGAAATCCAAAACGCTTCCAGCCTTGCAGCATCAATTCCGGCTTTGGCCAAGTTGCAAGGAAACCTTGGTTGATGGTTGTTTATCCTATATAGAGTAGCCTAGATATCAGGGTCAAAACTGATGGTGGAGGCTGTTGGTGGTTCGTGGGGGGGTTTTGGAAACCTGACAGTTGCAGAGCCACTGTGTCAGTAAGTCTGCAAGATTCTAGTCCTTCTGCAAAAGCACGTTAACGTTAACCGTAGTGGCCTGGGTGCTGATTGGACTTGACAAAGCACAGCTTTCAAAAACAATCGAACATCAATGCAACTCACGTGGTCTGTCGTAGTGTTGAGGTGCTTAATGTTCGTGCTTGTGGCTGCCGAAACCCTAAACCCTAAACCCTAAAACCCTCAAACCCTCAACAAACCTCAACAAGGGCTGCTGGGGTCTGGGACCGGTCTTTGCAAGCCTTCTCTGGGTTCTTCACGCGGGGTTCGTGGCGGCTCAAGCTGCCGAACCCTCAGAACAGGAATCCCTAAGCCCTAATCCCTACACCCTAAACCCTAACCTTTAAACCCTAAACCTTTAAACCCTAAACCTTTAAACCCTAAACCCACAAGCATCGGAAAGATTCCTGGCACGTTCGTGGGCTCTGTGGGGTTTCTATCTCAGGTAGGCGCAACCGATTCGAACCTCACACCCTGGGTTTAGAGTTGGCCAAACACTGTTCTGAAAAAGTATTGTTCATCGAATTGTCCTTGACATATAAATTCCAAATTCTAGGGTTTCTGGCTGCTTATGTAAACACCAGGTAAATTCGATGAGCGCATTCCTGCTTTCAAGATTTGTGTTGTCTACATATGTGTCCACACATGATCCTTTCTCTTACGCTGCACTTCCAGGGACCGAATTCTCGTGTCCTTAAGGGTTCCAGTAACCGAAGTCTTCTGTCCGTGGAGGTATAGGGTTACCAAATAGCAGGTTCCAAGCGCTTTTTTTGCGAAGCCCTATCTTCGTCGAACTACTTTGTCGAACGTTCCACCCTTTCGGCCGCCTTCAATACGCCTTCACCAAGCGTTGCCTTCATAGTTGTATAAGTCTGCCTCTTCTCCAGGAAATATGGGTTTCTTTATGGATGGGATGTTCGCCGGTTCGTTACCGGTTAGGGTTTACAGGCTTCGGGCTCAGGGTAGAGCAACCTTCTTGGCTGCAGGCTGTGTCGCAGGGCATGAGTGCCTTGGCTTCAATGGAACAGGGCTTGGTCATCATGGAGTCTGCCAGTCTTTCTGTTTAGGGCCCCGGGTGTGAGATTTTATGCCTGAAAGTTGTACAAAAAGTAGATTTGAAAATAGATATGTTTTTGTGTGCAAGATTTCCAATGTCGGATGGGCCTGTGGTCAATTTCGCAGAATTCGCAGCTTCTTGACGTTGTCAGGCCGAAAATGCAACAGGGCCAGGGCCTAGGAAACTTAAAGCTCGAGGGTTCACCTCAGCTAGGTCAGCCTTTTAGATGTTTCACATTTTCTCTTCTTGGGGTTGAAGTGGATTCCAGTTAGTTTCAGAGGGTTTTAAGGACCATCCTACACAGGCCAGCTGCGCCCTAAACCCTAAACCCTAAACCCTGCACCCTGAACCCTAAACCCTGCACCCTGCACCCTGAACCCTAAACCCTGAACCCTAAACCCCAAACCCCAAACCCTAAACCCAGACCATCCTAGTTAGCATGCCAGAAAAAGCTCCAAGCCTTCATACCGTCCGGGAGCCTTGAGCCCCCTGAGCCTTTTCCTGTGCTCCAGACCCACAAAACCCCTAAGCCCCCCTAGCCCTAAACCCTATAAACCCTGAACCCTAAACCCTAAACCCCGAACCCTAAACCCCGAACCCTAAACCCCAAACCTTAAACCCTAAACCCTGAAAAACCCTAAACCCTAAACCCCGCCCTAAACCCGAAACCCTGCAGACTCGGCCAAGGCGCCCTTTTCGGTGGGAGCTCCTCCTCTTCCTCGGAGGAGGTTCCTGTTGCCCCGAAGAAGGTCGACACCCGGCAGAAGGTGAGCATGTTGTTAGGGTTAGGGTTGAGGGTTTAGGGTTTAGGGCTTAGGGCTTAGGGCTTAGGGCTTAGGGCTTAGGGCTTAGGGCTTAGGGCTTAGGGCTTAGGGCTTAGGGCTTAGGGCTTAGGAGGCAGCAGGTGCAGAAGGTGAGCATGTCGTCATCATGTTTGTGTGCGTCTGTACAGAAACAAGCGCACGCGGGTATGTGAATAAGTGAATTGAGCATGGCATCCGGTTTTAGGCTTTTGTCTTTGGGGTTGCAACCCGAATCCCTAAACCAGCAACCCTAAATACCCTCAACCCGAAATCGGATGAGTAGACTCAAGTGTGAGGTAAAATCAGGCTCCAAAGGAGCAACTAGCTCGTGGAGTCTGTGCCTCATGTCATGTCAGCCAGGATTGGCTCTAAACCCTAAACCCTGAACCCTAAACCCCTAAACCCTAAATCCTAAACCCTAAGCCCTAGACCCTAAACCCTAAACCCTAAGCCCTAAAACGCAAGCCGCTAGTGGCCTCGGCTTAGTTCGGTCACCTCAGCTGGAATCGTTATTGCAGAAAGAAATCCGCGTCATTTTCGGAAACCACACAGTCGCAACGTGCCCAAAACAGGCTCTGAGCCCCCAAAGCCCTCAGCCAGAAACCTCCAAATCCTTTCCCTACACCCCCAAACCCCCAAACCCTGGCACCCCTGTTGAGGGGTCCCAAAGCCTTAAGCCCTAAACCCTAAACCCTAAACCCTAAACCCCAGTATGTGTCTGCCAAGGACTGAGCGCTAGCGGGCACGCGGGAAGCAGACAAGAGAGCTGAGCCCGGAGTTCAGGGCCTGGTTGGTTTGCCTGTTTAGGGTTTAGGGTTTAGGGTTTAGGGTTTAGGGTTTAGGATTTAGGGTTCAGGGCGGAGTTTGATACCTTTCATGGGCTTAGGGCTTCTAGGGCTTAGGGTCGCCCTAAACTCATCCCGAAACCTCTCAACCCTAAGCCCTCAGCCTCAGTGTTAGACCGAAAATCTTTTTTCGAGTTTCCATGTCATTGACTTCCTGGTGAGCCTCAACTAACCTTTGGGCTTTTCCTAAACGTGAAATGTGCCCTAGTCCACGTTGCGCTTGGGTGGTACATGTCCTACACCTGTACCGCGATTGCACCAGACGCAGTTCGCACACTCTGAACCCCTAGTTCCAAACCCCATCGTAAAACCGTGCGGCAAGTGTGAAAACACCATCCCTCAGTTCCAGGTTTCCTTGCAGCTGTAGGAGTACTCTCTAACGACTAAGGAGAAGTCAAGAATTCACCTCCTAGCTCTTTCAAGGCCATGGACCATGCCACAATGTTGAAATAAATGAAGTTGGGTTCGTGCACAACCCTAAACCCTAAACCCGAAACCCTAAACCCTAAACCCTAAACCCTAAAGTTGGGATTCATTGATGCTTGGCAGCCGAGAGGATGCTCCGGATTCAGCGGTTTCGTGCGTGCCGTTGAAAAGTGACCGATGCGGGCTCCATATGGAGGTTTCCGAAGTGAGGGATACCTTTCTTGTGGTCCTTCTGATTATTATCATGATTATCATGATTATTATGATTATTATGATCATCATGATTATTATGACTATTATGATTATCATGATTATTATGATTATTATGATTATTATGATTATTATGATTATTATGACTATTATGATTATTATGATTATTATCATTATTGTGATTATTATGGTTCTTATTATTATTATTACTATTATAAATATAAGGGAATCCTACGATTTGGGGCTCAATTTTCGGGGCCCCCTGTCTTCGTAAACACCCATATGGCCTCCCGCTTGTCACGTTGCTCACAGAACATTGCTTGCAGGAGCGACTCAAGCAATTGAGAACCTTTCAGCCAGGTTCAGGCAATGTGGATGGGGACAAAATTAGGCTTGAACATTTAGCCAGTGGCAGGCTCTGTTTCCATACGAAAGTACAGAGTGTTGCTGCTGGGCCGCACATGTTTGCATGCGTGGCGCATGCAGCAACCTCTGCATTCACAAGCCTTGGACCTGCCTACTCGTCCTTGAAACTGTCAGCCACGTTGTGCGCGAAAAGAAGTGGCACGCCCGTCGTTGGGGCGGGGGGCCGACTTACCGCACCTGTTTGTCGGGTTCGCAAAGGGCCTGTAGACTGCGGGGTCCAGGTAGTAAGCATCGGCTTGAGTCCTAGAATTGGCAGTGCCATGAGTTTCTGGCTCTCGCGCCCTAAACCCTAAACCCTAAACCCTAAACCCTAAACCCTAAACCCTAAACCCTAAACCCCTAAACCCCTAAACCCCTAAACCCCTAAACCCCTCTCAGGGGTTCTAGGGTTCGGGTCTGCGGGGACAGCAGCATGGGCATCCGTTTGAGTTATTCTGGAAGCAGCCCTGGCTGCTTTGAGAGCCCTTATGCTGCTTCGGTGTGGGGTCCACAGCTCGGGGGTAGGGTTTAGGGTTTAGGGTTTAGGGTTTAGGGTTTAGGGTTTAGGGTTTAGGGTTTAGGGTTTAGGGTTTAGGGTTTAGGGTTTTCAGGTTTAGGGTTTAGGGTTCAGGGTTTAGGGCAGTTCAGGCGTTCCTGAAGTCAAATCCCCCACCCCATCCTACAAAGGCAAACCCGAACAATGAATATTGTGGTAAGATTGTAGTTTGTGAAGGTTATGCTCTTACGATTTTCGAAAAATTGTGATAAGAACCTCGGAAATACAACATAGTGCGCAAAACGATCAAAGTCATGTCATCATACTCTAACTTTGCTTTTTGCAAAGTATTTTTACACCCTAACCCTAAACCCTAAAAACCCTAAAAACCCTAAAACACCTAAAAACCCAAAACCCTAAACCCCAAACCCTTAAAACCCTTAAAACCCTATCCAGGAGCCGAGCCGCCTGACATCTCCGACCAGGTCTTGCACGTAGGGTTTCGAGGTTCAGGGTTTAGGGTTTAGGGTTTAGGGTTTTAGGGCCGGAGTTCAGGCACATCGTCAGAAACAGTGCAAAAAACCCTTCTAAAGCCTAAACCCTCCCGAACGCCCCATAGGATGGACGTAGAGGGTTTGGGGCTTGAGCTCAGGGTTTAGGCTTCAGGGTTTAGGCTTCAGGGTTCAGGGTTCAGGGTTCAGGGTTTAGGGTTTAGGGTTCAGGGTTTTTAGGGTTTAGGGTTCAGGGTTCAGGGTTTAGGGTTTAGGGCGGAGTTTTCTTCTGACAAGGACCTCAATACAGCACCCCCCCCCCCCCCCCCCAGTTTCGGAAACCCCCCGGGTGAGGCCTGCGGCCTGGCCTTCCAGCAGCTGCTTCGAATGGAGGGCGAGGCCCGACCAATCCGAGAAGTTGCGGTTAGGGTTTATAGGGTTTAGGGTTTAGGGTTTAGGGTTTAGGGTTTAGGGTTTAGGTTTAGGGTTTAGGGTTTATGGTTCCGCTGGATTTGGACTCTAGACATCTTGCTTAATGCACACTAGAAAACTGTGTGAGTGTCTGGGTAGCTTTTGGTTAGAGACCCCATCACGTTAAACTTCGAGCATCCAGCCCCTCGATTTCTTGGTGCTTTGCAAATTTAAATCGTAGTATATTCCTCGTGGCACACAGCCAGGCGCAGGGTCTTCCTTCCTGGCCTTCTTGAAGCCCTAAACCCCAAACCCTAAACCCCAAACCCTAAACCTAAACCCTGAATGGTATATTCTGGTTTATTATGGTATATTATCGTACAATGTCGTGTACATTATATAGCATGGCATAGTGTGGTATAGTTTGGTATAGCATGGTATACTGTCATGTATCCTCGGCTCTCTAGGAAAACACATGCCAATGTCAGGTGAGGGACTCTCTCCAGGCTGAACTGAAGGCGGCACGGATGCAGCCGAGGCACATGGGGAGGGGGGGGGGGGGGAGTTAGGGTTTAGGGCTTAGGGCTTAGGGCTTAGGGCTTAGGGCTTAGGGCTTAGGTAGGGTTTAGGGTTCGGGGCTTAGGGCTTAGGGCTTCGGGGTGGGGAGTTGGGAGAGGTTTTTGTCAGCCTTGGGCGGGGGGGCCTTAGAGGATGGTGAAGGTTTTGGGCTTGGGCAATGGGCGTGCCAGAGAAGCAAAGACGAGGAAGCCCCATGGGTCTCCCAATTAGATCGCTCTCTCTCTCTCTCCAAAAAGGCGTGCCCCGTGGTGTCCCCAAAATACTCTTAATCCTTCTTGTAGCAACCGCCAAAATAGGCTACATACCCCTCCTTTCGGACCAAAAGAGACCTGAGTTCTGACACTGGTGGCAGACCCGTCGCGCCGAGCAGCGAGAGCAAGGCACCTGCATGGGACGAGCTGCGGTTCATGGGGTTTTAGGCTTCATGGCCCACTGCGCCATGCCGCGTCAAGCCTCTCCCCCTTATATCAGCCCCCCCTGCCTCAACAAAATGCAATGATGTCATGCCATAAGGGGCCGTGGGGCAGGATTACTGTTTTGTTGGTGATTATAGGTGTACTGCATTTGCTTTCTGCGTTCCCTGGCAAAGCTTTCAAAACACGTGCTTGTTGCAAGGGAATGACACGCGCCAACACGCAAAGAACACGCAGAGGACCAATACGCAGGGGGCATGATTTGTTCAGAGCCTGTCCTCAACGCATATTCCTTGCATCCGGAAACTTTCGAGACTGGTTTAACCGTTTATTGCTTGTGGCTAGTGCGGAGGAGAGTTTAGTATTCAGCACTTTGGATTACGGCCGGAAGGGAGGGGGCAGTGCGTTTGCGAGACCGTCCAAAACGCACCTTCCGAAATTGAACCCAACCCTGGAGCCTGAACCCTGAACTCTAGCGCAAGCCCTAAAAGAGCTCTCGAAACCCTTACAACACCACGGTTCGTGCGCAGCATCCTCAAAAGGTACGAACGCACAAGGTCCCCGATAGACCTTCCCAAAAGAGTGTTTTGGGGCCCCTCTTTGGTGTTTCGCACAGATCGCGTCTAAGGTTTCGCATTGAATGAGGAAACGATCCTGCAACGTGCGTTTTCCAGGCCTGCAAAAACGCACTGCGGCAACCTGGAGGGGAGAAAAGACACCAGTCGAAGCAAGGGCACACCAATACGCAGAGCGCGCCAAAAAAAGCAGACATCCAAAACGCGTGTGTTCGTAAAGCTTTGTTCCATGGGCCTTTATAAGGTTTCAGTCCTTTCAGGGCTCTGTGTTGCCTTCTAAGCTAGGATTTGCGGTGCCCCTTATATGTGCCCCTGACCAATATGCCTCACTGACATTTTGCTGGAAGCTGGCTCGCTGCATGTTGGCTCGAAGCAAGGTTAAGGGCATCGGGGTACCATTCTGGCCATGTCCTCAGTGTTCCGCCAGCGAAGGCATGGGGGCGTGCGGGCTGCCTGCCATTCTCTTTCTGCTGTGGCTGCGGACGATGGTCAGTGACGAGGGGGAGCGTCCGCTGTTCTTCTGGGTCACCGGGATGGACCGCTTTTCAGCTTTCTTTTTCGATTTGGATGTGCATCCCAGAACGGAGGGACACGAACAATGCGTTTGTGGGGTTTTAGGTGCTTGATTGGCACGGCGGTCCGTGCATATGCACGTTTGTTCACTTAGCTATGTTCATGTTACAGCAACGTGAATCATTGTTACAGATATGGTTCTTGCTATGGTCATAGGGCAGATTACAGGTGCAGCGGCTGTATCACCATCTTCATACACAATTCATAAGTAGCGGAGGCTGTCCCCACAACTTTGCGAAGTATGATGGTGCTCCAAGAGAGTGTCGAAGGCGTCGTGAACAGTATCTGAAGCATAGACTGCAGAGCCCATCGAAACGCACATGTTGCGCTTAGAGGGTATACATTCATCTGCACACGCACAAACATACACATCAAAAAACTGTATACATGAAGCATCATATACGTACTGTACAAGCAAAAATCATCATGTCATAAACCTTGCGCTTGGCTGGCGTGCTCTCCGGCACGTACATGGAATCAACCACAGCCCCTGCATGCTTAAAGCAGCAGTCGCAGCAATAGCGAGTAACCGAACAGCAGCGGAGGTTACAGTTGGTAATTCCGTGTAGCACGATGACGAAATGCATGTGTTGCGCTGTGAATGTTTGACCAGGTTAGTCCTGCCACAAAGCAGACATTGAAGGAGGCACGGGCATCAATACTCTGGCGTGGTGGGGCCCTCTAGTAGGAAGCATGCTCAACAAGCAATCTGCCTCCAACCAACCCCCCCCCCCCCGCCCCCCCTACTCCGTTAATGTTCCAAACCCCCCCCCCCTAAAATATGCTGATGGAGCTATCATGGGAGTAATTAATATCAGGTGGAGGGGAGCTTGAATATCAGGGGGCGTGGATGAGGGTTCCAGAAGCTCATGCCACGACATGGCGGTGCGTCACTGCAGGCTCACTGATTTGACATCTTCGGCATTCTAAGCTACCACCACGCACTCAAGCTCAACGCCCACAAGAAATCCAAGCTTCAAGTGCGACTAAGCCTCTGGAAAGCTCACCGTGTCGCTACGCGCAGGCATCTGAGGAGGAGGGGGTTCCTTTGGCCGAGCTGCGCCTTGACTCATTCAGCATGTGTCACATATCAGCACTAACTAGTCGGCTGGAGTGTCCAGCACCCCCCAACTACCCTGTAACCATAATAGGAGGTTATATAAACCCCTTTGTTGATGGGTACTTGGGGGGTTCAGCGTAGCAACCTCGTGATTTGATGCTGCTTTCGTCATCAGCCTGGTCACGCGTATGCGGGCGTGCATTTGTCAAAGAATCTAAGAAGCGGAAGCACCCTTCAAACAAGAGCACAGCTTGCTCTTCCCGACAATCTGGGAGAGCCTCTAAGCGCAATAGGGGTCGGAATAATGCCCATGGTATCCCCCCCCCGGGTACCCTGAACTCTAAACCCTAAACTCTACAACCCTAGACTGTAAACCCTAAGACCGGACCTTAACCCTAAATCCTGAACCAAAACCCTAAACCCTAAATCCCTAAACCCAAAAGCAACCCACAACCACACCTCGGGGGGGGGGGGGGGTCCTAGGTGGTGGGGCCCGCCGGGGCGCAAATATATATATATATATATGCCCCAAGTACCCCTTTTTTAATGATGCCCTATCTAACCCTAAACCCCAAACCGTTAACCCTAAGCCCTAAACCCTAAACCCTAAATGGCACCTCTGTGGCGAGGTTCGAGCGATGGGTGATGCTGCGCAGTGCCGCCAAGGAGGCCGTGGCGCACCTCGCCATGCAATCACCCTAAGCCCTGAACCCCTTCAACCCTTTGACCCGAAACCCTGAACCCTACACCTTTAACCCTAAACCCTAAACCCTAAACCCTAAGCCCTAAACCCTAAACCCTAAACCCTAAACCCTAAACCCAAGAAGAAGCCCTGAAAACCCCCACACAATGCGAGCCCAGGCCCCTGACCCCGGAGGTGCAGTTCGAGGGGCCTTCGGCCCCGTGGCTTCCGCATGTCACAGAATCTAGAAGTAGGGTTTAGGGGTTTAGGGGTTTAGGGTTTGGGGTTTAGGGTTTAGGGTTTATTTAGGGTCTAGGGTTTGTTTAGGGTTTGGGGTTTAGGGTTTAGGGTTCAGGGTTAGAGCTTCGGGCTTTGTGACTCCAGTTATGCGATCTGATCTATAAGTAGAGTTGTCTCATCTCACTCGGGTGCAGGGTTACGCAAGAGGCTGGGGGTGGCGTTCGGAGGGAAGGGCGGAAATACATAGGAGATATGGAAGAGAGAGCTTCCGCAAGTCTTTGGATGGGTTGCACCCAAACCCCAAACCCCAAACCCCAAACCCCAAATCCCAAACCCCAAACCCCAAACCCCAAGCCCTAAACCCTAAACCCTATGAACCCTAAACCCTAAACCCTATGAACATTTTTTGTATTTCGGTTTTAAAGGACCCTCCTAGACAGGTGCAGCTGCACCCTAAACCTTAAACCGTATAAACCGTAAACCCTAAACCCTAAGCCCTAAGCCCTAATGTTAACCTAGTATTACTGAAGCCCCTAACATTAAAGTACGCCAGGTGTCCCGGCCGCAATAATAAAGCCCTGGAAATAAAGTACGCCAGTCGGGGCTTGTTTTTTTGGGGGGGTCCGTTTTCCTTCCTGATCCTCTCTGATTCTCTCTGATCCTCTCTAATTCTCTCTAAGGAAAGGAATCCTGAGTGATTCTGTCTGATCCTCTCTAATTCTCTCTAAGGAAAGGAATCCTTATTCAAAGGGGCCTCACTCTATTTGGGGGGGTTTGATTGAAGGGGGCGGGGGGTGGGGTTTATTATTACTAGGTCAACATTAAACCCTAAACCCTAAACCCTAAACCCCAAACCCGAAACCCGAAACCCTGCCTCTTTTCTGGAGCTGATGTGGCCCGAGGTGCCTGAGGTCATGGAGTCGCTGGCACCCGACAAGCGGTCGCGCAGCCCGCCTGCTCTGGAACCCTGAACCTCAAGGAGTTTAGGGTTTAGGGTTTAGGGTTTAGGGTTCAGGGGCCTGAACCCTAAACCATAAGCCCTCGGGAGTTGTAAGCTGAGCAGGCTTCGGGGCGTCGTTCTCTCCAGTCATTCCCGTCTCGAATTCCGCTGGCGTTCTCAGGGTTGTTACCGCCGGGGTGTTACGCATTTTGTGACAACACGAATGTGCAGATGGACTCCGCCATGCATTAGGAGGTGCAAGAGGACGGGATGTGGCGGGATGCGAAATCCTAAGCTTCAAGTTCGCCAACGCTGTCGTTCTGAGTGCTTCTAGTGGTCCGGCTTCGCAGTCAGGGCCGTGGCTGCTCAGAAGCCGTGTGCGAAGGTCTGCAAGATGTTAGATCACAGGATGAACTTACTGTTGGCTAGTAGGGAATGGGGGAATGAGGTACCCTGTATAATCCTTCAAAGGGTATATACATATATATATATATACATATATATATATATATACATATATACATACCCTTTAAGGGATTATACAGTACCTCTATATATACGTACCCTAAATCATCCCTTAAAGGGTATATATTTGGCCCGAATTCCCTCATTCCCCGCTAACCAACAGTAAGCGAAGCCCAAGAAGGCACGAGTTCCCAACCTTGAGCCCAGGACTCTTCTAGAGGCCGAGAAATTGCCGGAACCGCTTAGGGTTTAGGGTTTAGGGTTTAGGGTTTAGGCTTTAGAGTGAACAAACCCTGCAAGGCCCCCTACCCTGCAGAACCACATGAACCCTACAACCTGGGGGGTCATATAGCCTGTACCACGCAATCCTTGCTAGGGTGTATGAACCATAAACCCTTTTAGGGTACATTAGCTCCCCAAAATACTGCAAGCCCCGAAACGCCAGCCGAAGACCACCCCAAAACCCTAAACTCTAAACCCGAAACCCTAAACCCTAAACCCCAAACCCTAAACCCTAAACCCCAAGGCTATGTGCTCCAAGACCTCGACCCGCAGGCCCTCAAGAACCTAGCGGGCTCGGCTCGCCGGGCTGTGCTGACCTGGACCACAGGCGACATCGTGCTCAGGGTTTAGGGTTTAGGGATTAGGGTTTGGGGTTTAGGGTTTAGGGCTAGGGTTTAGGGCTTGTCTGGCTTAGGGCCCAGGGCTTTTGAGAGTGTCACCCGAAAAGGGGCGAGTTACCTGCATCAGCTTCTCATGGAAGGCGGCTCCGCAGTGCGGAAGTTTTTACCCGGCGACACCTCTCAGCGCCCCAGGTGAGCGGGCGGAGTTCCTTGCCTTGGCCCAGAACCTGGCCTCGTCCATTCAGCTGAAGGCCCGAGCTGCCGCGTCATCTCCCCTACTAAGGGGGGGTTTGCGCATGTAAGGGAATTTCGAATATAATACACCCCCCAAAATGGTAGGATTCCTTTAGAATGAATTTCGGAAACCCCCAAATTTGGTAGGATTCCTTTATCATGAATGTCGGGAAACCCCCCCATCGGCTTTGTGGCATCTAAGAATCTAAGATCATCTAAGTGCCTCCTTGCCACTGGGAAGCCAGGAAGGCGCGGGCAGCAGCATGCCCCCAAGCCCAGCACCCTGAACCCTTGACCCGTTACTATATCCCCCTTGGGAATTAGTTTTTGTTTATATAAACCCAAGAGGATATTAAAAATATAAGTTTTATTGAGGTTCTTAAGGGGAGTATCGCTAAAACCTCCAAAGCAAGCGGCAGGTGCCCGAACTCTTTGCGCATTTCTGCGCGTCTTGGTATCCAAGTTCTGGTCTTTGGCTTGTTTTTCTTTTGGGCCAACCCCCCCCCCCCCCCCTCCCCGCCCCGAGTAGCGAGGGCTTGTTTTGCTGGGTTTGGTTCTTATCTACTGTTTGCTTCAGAGCCCCAAAGATAGGAGGTAAGAATCCCTAGATTCCCCTTGTAAGGAAGAAGATGTTTAAACATGTTTTGGGGGATTTAGGTTTTCAGGGTTGAGGGTTTAGGGAGTAGGCTTAGGGGTTCTTAAGCAAATAGCAATTATAGGGCTTCTGATATCGATTTAGTGCTCGGGCTTGCGGGATGGTTGTTTTTTTGTCCATGGGAGTTAGACACATGGGTGGTTGTGAAAATTATGATTCCTTTTGGGGTCGCTCAAATATTAGGTGCCGCAGTATAATCCAAAAAGGGACCAAACTTTTGACAATTTGACAACCACCCACATGTCAGGACCGGGCTTGGAGGGTTCAAGGTGCAGGCTTATGGTTTTAGGGTTTAGGGTGTAGGGAAGGTTTTTTGGGATGTCAGGTTCCTTGTGCTACGAGGTAAGATAGCTGAGGTTGTGGCACTTGACGATGCCGCGAATGAGGAGACTTGTCCCTAGTGCGGTGGGCTTGGGGATGTAGCTCGGGGGTTGTTTTGAATTAGGACCCTTTTGGGGGTCATCAGGATCCGAGTGTCAGGGTGTCAACCAGGGGACCCTCGCGTCGAATACCTCCGACTTATTGTGCAGCTCGCCTGGGAGACTCAGACCATGGCCAGGTAGATTTCAGTGATGTGCGCCTTGGGCTCTGTGCAGGAGCTGACACGCCGAGGAGTTTGCACACTCCGGTATGTGCGTGACTTGACCCCCATGGACAAAGCTGCGGAGCGCTGGGATTTCAAGCTGCGGCTGTTGATGACAGGGCTCCACGCCGGCTTGGAGAGCTTTGGTCCACAGTTCGGCAATAAGGTTGGGATGCGCCCCCTTATGCTAACAGTCCTTAATGGGGATTACATTAGGGGCTACTATAATCCCTATTAAGGACTGCTAGTGTAAGGGGGAACATCCCAAGCAATAAGGCTTTTTTTTCTCTCTCCCAGAGAAACGTAAAGTCCCAACGAGAACGACATGCGAACTCATCGGCATCGTCAACGGTTCGGCAAACCCTTTGCTGCCTCTGCCTATGCTGTGGTCTAGGAAACCTTAGGGAAGCTTCGGGAGCCTTAGGGAGTAGTGGGGAGCATTAGGGATCCTTGGGTAACATACCCCCCCTTGAACCCCCCCCGTCCCTTAAGAACCCGATAAGGCTGCTCGTGCTGGATGCAGACAGCGTTTTGCTCTCCGATCCGTTTCGGGCCGTGTGGAGAGATTCTGATTTGGAAACAGGCTGGGGCCTTCTCGACTGTGTACCCGGAAGCCTAAACCCTTTACTCACTCAACCCTGCATCGTCACAACATCCCATGACCCAGGCCCTAAACCCTAAACCCTAAACCCTAAACCCTCAACCTGAGCCCCCCTCTCAGGCACAGACCACTTCTTCCCTGAACGAGACCTCTGGCAACCCGAGATGCGACCGGAAGAGAATCTGAACACCGGGTTTCTGCAGCTTGGGGGCAGTCAGGGTTCAGGGTTTAGGGTTTAGGGTTGAGGGTCTAGGGTTTAAGGATTGGTTTAGGGTTGAGGGTTAAGGGTTTAGGGTTTCGCGTTTAGTAACTTTTTGGGCTTAAGGGAGGGCTTCCCGACAAGATGCTAGGCTGCCGAAGGTGAGGTGCTTTCGTGCGGGCGGCCACGGGTGATCTTCTGCTTGCACATAGATCAACCCTAAACCATGAACCGTACACCCCGGAGCCCCCTGAAGCCCACTGTAAACCCTAAACCCGAAACCCTAAACCCCCTTTTTCTCTCTCCCACAGTCCTGCAGCCACAAGCCTGTCCCAACCCGAAGCCCAGCAAGATCCCAGCCACAGGTATGCCGACGGGAAGCAAAACGCAGCCCCCTTGTTCTGCTTTCTGGCCTTGCTCCTGGGCAGAAGCAAAGTGTAGGGTTTAGGGTTTAGGGTTTAGGGTTTAGGGTCTAGGGTCTAGGGTCTAGGGTCTAGGGTCTAGGGTCTAGGGTCTAGGGTCTAGGGTCTAGGGTCTAGGGTCTAGGGTCTAGGGTTTAGGGTTTAGGGTTTAGGTACTGGTATCAAGGCTAGTTGAGCCAGGCACCATAGAGTCCGATGGTCCCTGAGCAGCTATGAGGCAGCTGTTTGTCGCCATGACACTTCAAGGCAGTTCCCGCCATCTCGTTTTCCGGCTCTTCCTGGTAAGTATTTCGGATTATAGGGACGGCCCCACATCGAATCTCCATGGGTCCGGGGTTGGGTTGTGGTTTGCGCTTCGATCCGTCCCATGAGAGAATCATCCTAGCTTGTCTTGTTTGCACGATGCCTTTTGCCACAGTGTATTGAACCTTAAACCTTGCCACGCGGAGGCCATGAGAAGTATTCATTTCACACATGTCCTGAAGAGGATCTCACTGGTGAACATTTGCTAGATGGCTGCAAAGGGGCTGGACAAGACTCTCTTGCCCTAAGGTTCCTGGAGCTTTTCGAGGCAACGGATCTCATGGCCTTGCCTCGCGACTTCTTCGACCAGCGCGCCTCTTGGCCTCTAGCAGCACTTCTTGTTGAGTCCGTCATTGGCCATGAAACAGTGGCAGGGTAGGGTCATCCTTTTTTTTTCAAACGTCGTCGGGTCGACTGCAAAGCGGTCATGGTGACCGGCAAGATGACATTTTCGGTCTGACCAGGTGTCCATAGGTGTCCATGTGCGTTGATGGGCGCGTCCTGGGTTCGTTTCTCACAGCTGGTTGAAGTTGTGGGAGGTGTAGTTAGGACGGGTATATTGTTTATTGTTAAAGGAGATCTCACGAACCGAGCGGAGGAACAATCACAAGAAAGTCTGGCTACAACCTTCATTCCTGTAGGTCAGCTGTGCTTCACCTCTTTCAGAGCAGAGAGAGTGCAGTAGACCCAGGCTTTCAACAAGTTCGTACTCATGCACCTTGCTATGGATCCTCCTGCTGCACCTTGGCCAGCAGGGGGCAGGTACAAGCGCATGGCCCCCATCATGTGCTCTTATACCTCCCTGGCGCCTACATGTGCTCTATGGGGTCTCCTATTGGTTCCAGGGCTTACATAGCAAAAACACGCACATTAGGGCGATTCCACGAGCATTTCTTGCCTCACAGGTGATGGTGCGCTCCAGCAACAAGACGAAGATGCTTCCTCCTGGTTGGCCTCCTCAGCGCCTGGCCATTGTTGAGATGCTGCGGCAGGGCAAGCAGGCGACTGCTCCCAACAGTGGAGGAAGCATCTCCAAACCCTGAACTCAGGCCCCAAACCTTCCATCAGGGGCTTCCCAAAAAATTGGGGTGGGGTGGGGGTCCGTTTTAAGGCTGTTAAGGAACCTCTTGGATGTGTGCCTTTTATTTTGGTAAGCAACGTGGGCTCCATTTCCCAAGTGCTCCTGCTCCTCAGCAGGTGGGCGGTCGGTGCTCAGAGGTTGCCAAGAAGAAGCTGGCCATCAGGATTCTGGACCCAGAGGTTGGGATGTTCCCCTTATAACTAATAGGGTTTAGGGTTTAGGGTTTAGGGTTTAGGGTTTGGGGTTTGGGGTTTAGGGTTTAGGATCCTTGAGAGGGATGATAGTACACCCCTATGCTAATCCCTACTAAGGACTGTTAGTGTAAGGGGGGCCATCCCAACCCACAGGTCATCTGCCATGGAATGAACTACTTCTGGCGTGGGGTGCACCTTACCCGGGATAACCCCGGTCCGGCCTTCGTGCACGCCAACGGCGTGGATGAGAAGATCTACTTCATGCGGGACCGAGGCACTTTGGTCTTATTAGACTATCACAGGTTCCCTGGAAGTCTATGGTTAACTTTCACGTGTAAATGAACTGCTTTATTGTTTGCCTAACATGTCAGTTTGCTATCAGATACGACCATTGCTTATTGAGCAGTTGTCAAGGATGATTGTAATCATAACTAAGAACCCTAAACCCTAAACCCTAAAACCTAAGTATCAGTATTTCCTGGTTGCAGAAGCTTGGGACACCAGCCGAGGTGTTTGGTTTGTGGACGACTGGCCCGAGCGATTCCCAGATCCCGGTTCTGAAAGGTTCCTGCAGTACACGCACCCTCGCGGGCAAGACCTCAAGGCCAGGGCCATGGTTTAGGGTTTAGGGTTTATCATGGTTTAGGGCTTAGGGTTTGGGGTAGAGCTTTTCGCATGTGTGTAATATGTAGCCTGCACAACACCAAGACTTCAAGGGTTTGCGCATCAGATCCCTAGCAGTAAGAGCAATAGAGTACAACCAAGAACGCACTTGCTGTTGATTCTGCAATCGTTGGCGTAGCACGGTGCAGCCTACCACCGTAGAACTACCCAATGTGCCGCCGCGGCCTCTTTCTCTGCACTCTTCCGGGGGCTTCAAACTGTCTTGAAACAGCCTTTATGAATAAAAACAATAAAAACAATAACAAAAACAATTGTTTTTGGCGACAATTCAGGGTGACTTCAACATCCTCTTGGCAGCGTTGCAGCTGGCCAGGCTGCTGAGGCGGGTTCTGGTGCTTCCACGAACCATGAGCCTGGGTTGATAATTACGGTGATTCCCCCCCAAATGATGATCCTTTTCTTTATTTTGGGGAGGGGGGGGTCCTTCTCATAAGGCGGCCCCCTCCTACCCAAAAAGGGACCCTACTTTTGAGAACGGACCATATAATGTGTTCTTTGTTTTCTAGTGCCGGGTGGCCGACAGAGAGGAGACTTGTTCCGGTCCTGCCGAGACCTCCCCAGGAACTGCGCCAACTCGCCGGCCTTCCATGCGCAGATGCTGCACTGGGAAGACTGCACCGTGGACCAATTCGCCTCGGCCAAGATCCTGCTCTTGGGGTTGAAAAACTGGGCAAAGGCGGCTTTTGCTAGACGAATCTACCAAAAGATTTTGTGTAAAAGAATCTACCAGAAGCCCTATCATTCCTAATAGCAGCCTTCAAGGTTCCGGTACTTCAACGGGAGTTTGGCTGAGTCCTCGCTGGCATCGCACCCTCGCTTCAAGGGTCTCGCTGCCGGGAGCTGGAGGGCACGCAGCCCCGAAGGGGCCGATGTGCCCAGGGATGTGCCCGTTCTGAGCCTCAAGCAGCAGCAGCTAAACCCTAAACCCTAAACCCTAAACCCTAAGCCCTAAGCCCTAAGCCCTAAGCCCTAAGCCCTAAGCCCTAAGCCCTAAGCCCTAAGCCCTAAGCCCTAAGCCCTAAGCCCTAAGCCTCAAGCAGCAGCAGCCGTATACTGTAACTTTTGCCAAGCTTGGAACATCAAAGGCTCCACATATGAGTCCGAAACCCTGGCAGCAGGCCACACGAATAACTTCAGCACTTCCTAAGAGCTCAGACCTCTAGTTTATACAGTGAACACATCTTATATATATATATATATATGTATGTATATATGTGATTTGCAAGATATTCCTATCACAACTAGAATTCTATATATTATTGGAGAAGACAATAGAATCCCTTCCAGTCGTCGCAGTGTCTGTCAACTTCAGGATCGTGGAGTCGGACGTGCGGCAGGCTCTGGAGCTGCTTGCTGGAGGTGCGATGGGATCGGAACCTAAACCCTAAACCCTGAAACCTAAACCCTAAACCCTAAACCCTAAACCCTAAACCCTAAACCCTAAACCCTAAACCCTAAACCCTAAACCCTAAACCTAAGAAATCCTAAGCCCTATAAACTCCTAAACCTTTCGGGCTTCTGCAGGCCGGCCGCCGCAGTTGCCTTGTAAGTTCGCCTACTGGCCCGGTCGCCAGATGGCCTGCAGAGACGAGTCGTTTTTGCACAAGGCGCGCACGGATTCGGGTTTAGGGTTTAGGCTTTAGGGTTCAGGGTTTAGGGTTTAGGGCTTAGGGTTTGGGGTTTAGGGTTTAGGGTTTGGGGTTTCGGGTTTCGGGTGCAGGGTTTAGGGTTTAGGGAGTCAATTCCTTCAGGGGTCTTAGGCGGCTCGTTGCAAAGGTGGGTGCGGCAGCGGCCTGCCAGCCAGGGCCCTCACAGGAGGCTTGCGGCGTCAAGGGCTTCGCATGCTGCGAGGCCCCTCGGGTCCTTTAGGGTTTTGGGGTTAGGGTTTAGGGTTTAGGGTTTAGGGTTTAGGGTTTAGGGTTTAGGGTTTAGGGTTTAAGGTGAGTGTTTGTTGTCATATGGCGCAGATACTGTGAAGGTTAGGATGCAGAAGAGGCGTGAAGGCTTCGTCAGGTGCGAAGAGCAGCTTTGGCCCAATTGTGGAGGGTCATCCTTCTCCCACCCCATGCCCTCAAAGGCCGCAAAGCCACCCGAACCTATGCCTTTTAGGGTTTAGGCCGGAACTCAAGTGAATTGCCTATTTCCAAACAACTTCTTCCGTTAAGGGGGTCCAGAGGGTGCCAGGGTCCTAGGGGGCTTGGGGAGGTTCAGGAGAGAGTTTCCCAGGTGCAGGGGGGTCCAGGAGGTCTTAGGCCAGTCCTCTCCAAAGCACTTTTTGAGCGCCCACTCCGTCTGCCTGGCCAGTTTAGGGTAATGACTTCAAAAGGGGACCAGTACGACCCGGGTCCGCTTCAAGGCTTTTTAACGACTTGTTTAGGATTTGCAGGTCCCTTTTGCTACAATAAGTAACAAGGGTTCTGATGCTGCGTATAAGGGCGACCAGACCACCCAAACCCACGCGAGACAAGGGGGTCAGAAGACGGCGCTTGAGGAAAGAGGGCTCCACTGTGAGGGTTTAGGTTTGGGGACCCTAAATGCTGAAACCCTCAGCCCGAAACCCTAAACCCTAAACTAGGGGCTTGCGAGCGGTTCTATTTGTTCTCAAATGCCTAGGTCTTCCATGGATGGGCGGACAAGCTGGCCACTCACTTGCAGCCGAAGCGCTTTTGAGTCGTTAGGGTTTAGGGTTTAGGGTTTAGAGTTTAGGGTTTAGGGTTTAGGGTTTAGGGTTCAGGGTTCAGGGTTCAGGGTTGGTCGCCACCTCCTACTTGGACTGCCCAGATGGCTGGTTTTCGAAGTTGAGATTTCCTTTCTGAAATTCACCGTCGTAGACTCGATACCTCCCCAAAAAGGGATCTCGAGATGGGGAACCCATACCCCTAAACCCTGAGCCCTGAACCCTAAACCCTGAACCCTAAACCCTAAACCCTAAACCCTAAACCCTAAGCCCAAGCCCAGGAGATTTTCACGGGCCACGCCTGGGCTTTGCCCTGCAACTGCGGCCTGGATGAGCCTTGCGCGGCCTTCGAGCGGACGGAGGGCTACGCACAGCTCACAGCGCCCTGGTCTATGGAGCACCCGCTTGGGGTTGGGATTAGGGTTCAGGGTTTGGGGTTTGGGGTTTGGGGTTTAGGGTTAGGGTTTAGGGTTTATGGGGGCATCAGGGGAACCCGCGACAGTTTCCCTTCCCCTCAACCCTATAATACGTAAACCCTCAACCCTAAACCCCAAACCTTCCAACCCTGTAACTCCATAAACCCTAAACCCTAAACCCTAAACCCTAAACCCTAAACTCAGGCAAGCCATCGCTGCTGCCATGCTCGGTTCGAAGATCCGCCGATGCTGCACTGCATTGACGTGGGCAGTTTCCCAGCGTCAAACCCCATGATGGACTTCAACAGCCTCTCGAAGGCAGTCGAGGGTTTGGGGTTTAGGGTTTAGGGTTTAGGGTTTAGGGTTTAGGGACTGTATGTCGGTAAGTCGTGCGACGATCGCTGGCGTGCGTCCCGCGACATTTTGTTGAGCTGTCTCGACGGGCCTCATCAATCGGGCGAACAACGTAGTCCCCAACAATAGTAGCAACAACAGCGAACCTTGCCTGATCTAATCGAGGTTACAGCTCAGATGTCATGTGGGCCTTGGCCTACGGCCTACTCTCGCCACCGGATGTGTTCCAGGCCCACAGCAGTGCTAGAGATTGGGAGGCTCCCCCTTATACTCAGAGTCCTCAGGGATTACCCTAAACCCTAAACCCTAAACCCTAAACCCTAAACCCTAAACCCTAAACCCTAAACCCTAAACCCTAAACCCTAAACCCTAAACCCTAAACCCTAAACAAACCCTGGGTGCGATAATCCCTTTGAGGACTGTTAGTATTTCAGGGGTAACATCCCAAGTTTCTTGTATTCTGGCTTCGTGCCCCTTGCTTAGGCACCTCGCAGACTTTGACCTCCGGCATAAATTTAATTCAGGCCAACAGCTATACGGGACCGTACACCGTTAGGGTTTAGGGTTTAGGGTTTAGGGCTTAGGGCTTAGGGTTTAGGGTTTAGGGTTTAGGGTTTAGGTTTAGGGTTAGGGTTTAAGGGTTTAGGGTTTAGGGTTTAGGGTTTAGGGTTTAGGATTAGGGTTGCTGCGTGTCACTTGTGTACAAGGAGACCCTGGACCTTCTCACGAATGGGACGATATGTCTCCCTAGCCATCTACAAAGGCATCCCAAAAAGAGCAGCCCCAGTGGCACTGGACCTACCTGAACCAATAAGGTGCTTTTGCGCCCATGCCCATGCGTTTGCCATAAATCACTCATCTTCAAAGGATATAGTTTTTATATGTATATATAGAGTTATTTATGTTTATTTTCTGTATATATTCAGATTTTAAGTTACATTTGTATGAACATGTATATATATATATATATGTATATATACACATATGTACGTATGTGCGTATGTATGTATGTATGTATGTATGTATGTATGTATGTATGTATGTATGTATGTATGTATGTGTGTATGTGTGCATGTATGTATGTATGTATGTATGTATGTATGTATGTATGTATGTATGTATGTATGTATGTATGTATGTATGTATGTATGTATGTATGTATGTATGTCATGTATGTCATGTATGTCATGTATGTCATGTATGTCATGTATGTAATGTATGTAATGTATGTAATGTATGTAATGTATGTAATGTACGCAATGTATGTAATGTACGTAATGTATGCAATGTATGTAATGTATGTAATGTATGTAATGTATGTAATGTATGTGTAATGTATGTAATGTATGCAATGTATGTAATGTATGTAATGTATGTAATGTATGTAATGTATGTAATGTATGTAATGTATGTGTAATGTATGTGTAATGTATGTAATGTATGTGTAATGTATGTAATGTATGTAATGTATGTGTAATGTATGTGTAATGTATGTAATGTATGTGTAATGTATGTAATGTATGTGTAATGTATGTAATGTACGTATGTATGTATGTACGTACGAGAGAGAGAGAGGGAACCCATGTCCACGAAGCCCCACTTTCCCTCAGGCGTGCCAGCGGTGGACAGAGGCAGCTTCCGTTTCCATGGGGCTCTCCACCCAGCCGCAGGACCCACGGTTTAGGGTTTAGGGTTTAGGGTTTAGGTTAGGGTTTAGAAACGGAAGCATGTCTATTAGCCTTTTTTTTTTTTGGGGGGGGGGGGGGGGGGGGGGGGGGGGGGGGTTCTTAGGGAAAGAGTAGACCATGCGGGGCACTTTATAGTTTAGGGTTCAGGGCTTGTAGGTTTTTAGACAGATTTGAGAGAAGGAAGGCTCCGGACTAGCAAACAATAGCTCCTAGCCATGAACGTGGGTTTCGCATCATGGGGACTCTAGAGGGATGGGCCCATAGGCTGCCCTAGACGCTGTTTTAGGACGTGGCTCGCGACTGCACCTGGATGGTCAGCACCTTCCTCCTGGCCTACGAGTTTCACGAGCCGCTCGTGCCGTGGTTGGAGTACATGCTGGAGGCTTTGACGCGTTGTAACATGGGACATGGGGGGGTAAGCAGCACTTCGTGTCGAGGGGGAGGGGGGGGGGGACGCTCTCATGCTGAATATTTTCTGAGGGTAGTTGCAGGTCCGGCGCCCCCTGTGGACTCCCCAGAGCACAGTTTCAATGGCCACTGGCACCGGCGATGGCAGCTCCTTCAGCCTTTGGAAGCTCCAGCACGACATGCAGCAGCTTGAGTTTCTAACACGGAGCAAGCTTAGCAGCCTGAAGATCGGACTCCCAGAGCTGCAGTCCTTGTACTCCTTGTACTCCGAGCTGCATCTTGCAGTGGTCCAGCAGAAGCCCGAGGAGCAGGTCTTCCTCCATTTCCAGAAGCTAAGTGGCATCTTCAACAGGGCCCTGCACGTGCACTCTCCCACTCTAGTTGGAGGTGCGTTGTTGACACCGGCTGCCTCAAGGCTTCGGTCTTGGAGACCCGAGGCGGCTCTGATGGTGGATGAGGCGATCGACGAAAGCACGCGGCACCAGATCTACTGGTCGCTGCTCTCCTCCACAATCTGGTATGGGGCTCGGGAGGGCCGCGAGGCGGTCCTCCTGTCAGCGACCTTGTTGGAGGGACTTCATCACCATACTCTGCTTTCTCTGTCGCGGGAGGTGCGGAGCTCATTGCCGCCGGGGGTGCGAGGCTACCCGCTGAGGGACGTCGTCGCCCGGAAGTACCATGCCTCGCGGCCCAATCCTGGCACCGAGCTTCACTCCTGGGATGGCGAAGTCGTAGCCTGCCTTTGGCTGCACCCCTCCTCCCCATCCACCGGCGGCGAGCTACGAATCCTGCACAACGAAGCTCCGCCGCACTGGTCTGAGGAGGAAGCCTTCGACTGGGCACATGGCAACCCCCGCCCGAGTCTGGAGAAGGCCGTTTCCGTGGACCTTGACGTGCGGCCTCAACCCAGGCGGTTGGCGATCTGGTCAGGAAGGCGCCTGGTCCAGACTCTCCCTAGCACCAGCGACTGGCCGCCGGTTCGCTACGAAGAAAGCTGGATTGAGGTCTACTTCTTGTTTGGTTCTCAGCGGCGGTGGGCCTCAAAGATAGACCCCAGGCCATCTACTGGCGATGCTGAAGAAAAGTCGCAGGTTTCCAGTTTCCGGCATGGTGAAAGGGGGGGGGGGGTGCGATGCTGCACTTCTCAGATTGATTCATGATCATCAGACATGACTTGGACCCCAGGAGGTTGCAACGCAAGGCTTCCGTGGCGGTTTACTGGCTGGCTCGTAGTCGGGAATGAGGGACTTAGGGCCCTAAACCCTAAACCCTAAAACCTAAACCCTAAGTAAACCCTAAGTCCCTCATGACCTGCTAAGAACCAGGGGCTTTCGGGAGGTTTCGGGGGGGGTGGGGAGAGGCGGGCACTTGAAGGCTCATGGGACTTTAATAACCACTTAAAACTGCACTTATAACCCTACTTATAATTGGGATAACCCCCTATAAGGCCCTTTAGGGGTATTACAAGTAGGGTTATAAGTACAGTTATAATTGCGTAGCAAGTCCCATGAACCTTCAAGTAGAAGTTTGCACAGGAAGGCTTGCTCGCGCCGCCTGGCGAGGCCTGCTCTGGAACGTGCTGGAACCTTAAACTTAGGTTTAGGGTTTAGGGTTTAGGGTTTAGGGTTTAGGGTTTATAAGGTTTAGGGTTTAGGGTTTATAAGGTTTAGGGTTTAGGGTAGCAGTAGTAGTTGGCAGTTAGAAGTACGCAGCGACCGGCTCAACCTTGGGCCGGATTCCTTAGGGTCTCAGTCAGCGGAGCATCTAGGCAGCTTGTGGCCGTTGTGCTCATGCTTGCGCATCACCCACTGCCCAAAAACACGGGGGTGCCCTGGCCAGGACCTGAGAGCCCTTTACAGGTGGTCATAGGGCTGCGGGATTTCGGGACTCCCACCAGCACCACCTCCATGCCGTAGATATCCCTGCCTTCAAGCACTCATCCTGCCAGGGCTTGTCCGGTGGCAAAGCCGGTCGCGAGGTGGCGGTAGGGTTGCGGGCTTGCTGTCTGCGGGCGTAGGTTCTCAAATGTCGCCGGATGTGCCGGGCACACTTCGAACTTGGGGCCTTGTGGCCCAAGGCTCAGGGGTTTCCACCGTATCCTGTGTGATCAGCAGCAGAGTGTCTCTATAGGGGGGGCCGACTGCTTGCAAGACGCCTTGGCAAGAGCGGCGCTCCTGTAGGCACTGCACCCAGTCCACCATCAAGTCCTGACATCTTGAGGTTCAAAAACCAGGATGGGCTATTCGGCCTTATAATACCCATAATCAACCCTATAAAGGGCTTCTTTAAGGGGTTATAGGGTATGATAGCCCGTCCTGGAAGTTGCCCACTTTGACGCTTGAAAGCGGCTTGCAGGCGAGCTCCAGGTCGGGGTCGAAATCCAGACTGGGGTCGAAAGAGGCGCGCGTGGCCTGCTGCGACGGAAAATCTGTGCGGGCAATTGCGGGTATAAGTGGGCACCCGATCTTCGAAAGATACCCCCCCCCTTCAAATTCAGGAGTCAACCGGAATCCCATGTGCGTGAGGCGAGCCAGCGTGCTGGCAGCAAGGTGGGGCTTGGGATTTGGGAGTTTGTGGGGTTTAGGGTTGAGGGACCTTCGCGCTGTTAAGGGTTCTAGGGTTCTAAGGTGCATAGAACTGGCCATAGGGTGTTTGGGCTCAGGGCTGTGTAGATTTTACAAACCTTGGGGGCTACAGGATTCACGACGTAGAGCTTCGGGCGTTGGAGTTGGGACCTGCTTCGTTGAGTACCTTCGCCAGTTTGACAACCCCCATACGAAGCAGGGGGAATTAGCGGTATAGGGTTTTGGGTTTAGGTTTCAGGGTTTAGGGTGCAGGGTTTAGGGTTTAGGGTTTAGGGTTTAGGGTTTAGGGCCAAAGATTAGAGCTCACTCTACCGCCGTGCTTGGGTCCAAACGTCGATTGCATGTAGCCTTCTTGGAGGTTCCACTGTGGGGTTACAGTAATGCAGCTTAAGGAAACTGAAAGTCATAACTTGGCATATAGCCTCACTTTGGGTACTTCTAGAACCCTAGACGTATAACTACCCATATACACCTTCAAGTAAGCTGGGGCCTAAGCCCTGAACCCTCTGGGATGGCCCCCAAACCCTAAACCCTAAACCCTAAACCATCAGGCACCTGCGGCCACTGTGGAGAAGGCGGTGGGCACGGCTAGCCGGGCTGGTAGCAAGGCGCCGTTGCTCAGAGGATCTGCTTGGTTTGAGGGTTGAAGGTTTAGGTTTTGGGGCTCAGGGTGTTTTGGGGGGGGGGGATACATGCCCAGCCGTTGGTCGTTTGGAAAGGATTGCCATACTCTATTGAGTCATAGGAGTAGCTGCTAGGAGAGGGCAGGTCCACGAATATTGCTTTGCTCTCAACGACTGCATTCCCATGGCGATCGCTCTCGTAACTTACAATCTCGGGGCACGACGATATAACGTTGGAATCGCTGTTACCCAAGCTATCAATTACTGAGTTGGAGTGGGGAGGGGGGGGGATTTGGGACGGAGCGGGGAGGGGGAGAGGAGGGATGATGTGGGTTTCTGAATGGGGATGCCTCACCCGCTTTCTCGTTGACACTGGTCGGCTGCTTCGAGGTTCTGCGTATGTGGCTTGGAATCTTTGCGCTCGTCATGCATCTAGCCCGTACAAGTCTTGCGATAGCCTTCACCCTCCCCAACTCAAAACCCAAGGGGTTTAGGGTTTAGGGGTTTAGGGGTCTAGGGGTTTAGGGGTTTAGGGGTTTAGGGGTTTAGGGGTTTAGGGGTTTAGGGGTTTAGGGGTTTGGGGGTTTAGGGGTTTAGGGGGTTTAGGGGTTGGGGGGTTAGGGGTTTAGGGGTTTAGGGGTTTAGGGGTTTAGGGGTTTAGGGGTTTAGGGGTTTAGGGGTTTAGGGGTTTAGGGGTTTAGGGGTTTAGGGTAAGGATCAGCAACTTCAAGCATGGCTTGCGTGCAGGCAGCACCCGTTGCCAGTGCCGATAAGGCAGTGGGCACCGCGAGTCGTGCTGGAAGCAAGGCGGGGAGTGCATCACGGTGGTTTAGGGTTTAGGGTTTAGGGTTTAGGGTGTTGTGCAAAGCCATTGTCCCAACAATGCTGAACATGCGAAAGTGTTGCATGCTGTACAATTCGCTTGGAATCGCATAGGAAAGATATGAGATATGAATTGATAATGAAATTGATATAAAGAATTTAGAGAGATTAGATTTGCTTGGCTTAAGGTTTTGTTAGTTTTTTGATTTAGAAGTGCGGCACTTCCGACGAATTCTTCCCCCAAACCCTACCCAGTTCTTTTAAGGTACGGGGTTACCAACTCGCCTCAAGCCCTGAGCCCGAAAATGCTAAGCCCTAAACGACCTTGGGACCAAAGGAACCCTAAAAGGGTTTATGGTCATACACCCTAGAAAGGATCATCCTAGTACAGGCTATAGGACCCCCAATTTTAGGGTTCATGTCGTCCCCAGGGTAGGCAAACTCTACATCCAAAACCCTAAACCCTATAAACCCTAAATCCTGAACCCTAAGCCCTACAGACCCGAAGTCCTAAACCCTAAACCCTAAACCCTAAACCCTATAAACACTACACCCCCAGCTTCAACCCTTCGAACCTCAGGCAGCCACAGAGGGCGCGGCAAGCCGCGCGGAGAGCCAGGTTTGGGACATTCGGAAAAGGGAATGCTTCAGTGTGTGTGTGTGTCTTAATATGCGCATATGTATATATACATATATCTATATATGTGTGTGTATATATATATATATCGATGTATAATTATATATATATATGCATGTACAGACGTTCTGCCTCTGTACATATGTGCATATTCATATATGCATATTCACAACTGCACAAAACATATATGTATATACGTTCTTCTGGTTAGCAAACACGGTACCACGGCATAATGGCTACCAGAATCTCTCTCTCTCTTATATATATATATATATGTGCAAAATTATACCCTAAAACCCTCAAAGCCTCAAACTCGCAAGCTCTCAAACCCTGAAACCCTCACACCCTCAAACCCTCAAACCCTCAAACCCTCAAACGCTCAAACGCTCAAAACCCTAAGCCCTAACCCTATAACGAAAAACCTTCAACCCCCTAAAACCGTACAACCCTATGGCCTAAAGCCTAATACCCTAACGCCTAAACCCCTAAACTAAACCCAACCCACAACCACGCCACAGCGGGGGGGGGGGGGGGGGGGGGGGGGGGGGGGGGGGGGGGGGGCAGTTGCCCGCCGGGGCACAACCATAGATGAGACACTTGCAGTCTGACTTGCTGCAGGGGTCCACTGGCCACGCTGATGGCGCGCCTGTCCGCTCAGGTGTCGGTGGTCAGGCGCCTGCCACTAAGTAAAGTTCATAGTTATATAATACATGATCATATTTTGCTGTACGTATATAATATAGTATGATGTACTCCACAGCTGTATCCAACATCTTTGAGGAGCATGGGTTTCAACAAATCGAAGAGTTCTGTCAAGCATAGCACAGTGCAGAGCGGTGTTTAAGCACTCGATGCTGAAGGGGTATTCCCACCCTTGCCTGTTGTCATGGTTTCACCACGCAGCTGCTATCGTATAGGTTCAGGCACGTAATGGTACTCCGCCTACTTCGGCCCCCTATATAAGTTGCTCGTAATGCAGATGGCCTTCCTCGATCCGGCAGAGGGTGCTGCAAGCCGTGCTGGCAGCAAGGCCTGCGGCCAAGCTTTCATGTTTTTTCTGTACGCTTTCTGTGTCTGTGTGGAGCTTTTCTGGTTGAAGGGGTTCGAGACCCGGTGGCACAGACAAGGGTCATAGAGTATGGCAAGGGAAGATGTCCAGGTGATGATACCCACTTTCTGGCAGGTGTCAGTGGGCCACGCCGATGGGGCACCCATCCGCCCAGGTGTGGGTGGCCAGGCTCCCCCTGAGAAGGTGCGCGTCATTTGGATCGGAGTGGTTGGTGTCACTCTAAACGTTTGCTGAGACGTCATCAGAATCTAAAGCCCACTTTGCAACCGATGTGTGCTTCCCTGCCCGTATTGACAGACCGCCTTCCTTGATGTGGCAGAGGGCACAGCAAGCCGTGCTGGCAGCAAGGCCTGCCAAGATTCACGCTTGTCTGTAAGTTGTCTGTATCTGGTTAGAGCCTTTCTGGGTAAAGTAAAGAAAACAGCTGGTGGGTGTGAACGATGATGCCCACTTTCTGGCAGGCGTCAGTGGGCCACGCGGATGGGGCACCCATGCGCCCAGGTGAGGGTGGCCAGGCTCCTTGAAAACGTGTGCGCCACACGGTGTCTGTTGGTCAGCGTGGTTGGTGTCAGTGCTGCAAGATTCAATGTTTGCTGAGAGGTTCGGTCACATGCGACATCCACGTCATCATCATCATCATCCTCATCCTCATCATCATCAACATCCCTAAACCCTAACCCCTACATCCTAAACCCATTTAGCCGCAGATGCGGCGCTTTTCCTTCGTCCTCCAAGCTGCTTGGAGCGCAGGCGGCCTTCATTGAAGTGGCGGAGGGCACAGCTAGCCGTTCTGGCAGCAAGGCCGGTGGGCAATGTAGGGGTTTAGGGTTTAGGGTTTCGGGTTTAGGGGTCAGTATAGTCACTAATAGTATCCCCTAGGGTCCCTTTATCATGTTACTATAATAATTAACCCCACACCCTATTCGAATTATTAAAGCCCCTTTATCAGGTGGAGCCTTTCCGGTTGAAGGGGTTCGAGACCCGGTGGCACAGAAAAGGGTCACAGAGTATGGCATGGGAAGGTGCAGCAAGCAACAAAATGTTTTTCCAGAACTTCAATGGCAAAGGTCTTGGTGATGATGCCCACTTTTCTGGCAGGTGTCAGTGGGCCAAGCCGATGGGGCACCCGTCCGCCCAGGTCTGGGTGGCCAGGCTCCCCCTGAGAAGGTGCGCGTCATTT